CCCCAAAATTTTGTTCAAATTAAATTCTGTTCTGGAGGGCAAACACCCTACTGAAATTTAAATTTTAAAATTTCCCTACATGGTTTTATCTTTAAAATTTTAAAATGGTTTAATTTTCAAAACCTTTGTAAAATTGATTTTCTTCAAATAAATTAAATTTGTAAAAAATTTTCCTTTTTGGGGAAATATGGTTTGCTTTAAAAAAAAATCTACAGAACTACTGAATTATTCACTTGAAAACATTTTTGAAGAGATAATAATTATGCCAAAAAGACCCCCCAATCACTCTAGTATGCCATTTGACTGAATTTTGATAGCCCTTTTTATAGAAATTCACATAAAACCCCAATGTAATCTCCTCGGTCAAAAAAAGTTCACATATTATAGGGCAATAATGTAACAATTGTTCTGTACATTTTTAGCCTTACAATTTGCCACTTAAGTTTTGTGAACAATTTTTTAGTTTTTTTTCCCCAAAAAAAAAAAAAAAAAAATCATGTCTGAAATCTTGTATCCAATTTTGGCAGTAGCTAACTAACTTAATTTTTACTACCATTGTTTTTTTTCCGGGCAAAAAGTGGGAGACCTTTAGATAAAACTTATGGTTATAAGTGTATAAAACGATGGGTGTACGGATGGTTGTATAGTGATATATAAGGTTACAAAATGTATAGTACTGTAGGGTGAACATTCCGGTCGACAGGAAAAACGATATACATAAGAGGGCATTTAGAAAAATAAAAATGTTTCAAAATGTTAATATGAAATATTGTTTTAACATAACGTTTTGGCACCTTTAGGCTGTTTACTTATTTGTTAAAATGATAAATTAATTTTTTTTATAAGGGTTGATAAATGTAGATTTCTTTAAAAGGGATATATTAATATGCCGTCATCAAATAAATTTTAACAACAATATATGGTTATAATGTTTATCAGTATCTTTTCGTGTCCCATTAAATAAGTCAACCCTCTTAATATTGATGTCTTTAATTTGACTACACATGCAGTTATTTTTATACCCTGAGTCTTAGCTAGCTAATAATAGTAACTTATTGTAGTTTTGTGATTTTTCTCTAACTTTGGGATATCATTGAATTAACTGTATTTTCAAAACATATTTTTATTTCGGAACTTGTAAGATATGGCAGGTCAAAGGCCTAACCAGTGATGACAGGGTCTATGCTGGAATTGTACGGGGTGGCTTCCTTGGCAATATAAATATCTTTAACTGCAACACTCCCTTTGCCAGGAGATCAGTAGTGTTCTTCAAGTAATTTTGTTTATAATGGAGGGACACTGGTCTCCGCCTCAGAGTCCTGGACATAGCCAACCTGACTGCAGACTTTTAATATAGCAGATTTTTGCATGTACTTGAATAAATTTGTGCACTAAATTTTATGTAGGCTGAAATGTGCCATTAATTGTGCCTGCATTAAGCTTGTCTGGCTTTCACAGGTCAAACTGCATGAATCTTCACAGGACTGATCAGTACCATCATTAGTTGTGCATATCGCCATTACGTTTCTCTTCGCTGCACAAAATGGCCTCCAGAGCTAAAAATAGAAAAATCTTGTCCGGTTTTCACGGTCAAACTGCTAGTGGGATTTCAATGAAACTTAAAAGGAGTGATCAGTATTGACCCAAGTTGTGCATATTACCGGCACTTTCTGCTTTTACTACACAAAATGGCCACCAGAGCTAAAAATAGAAAAACTTGTCCGGCTTTCACAGGTCAAACCACAGACACTTGGGGTTTGGAGCTCAAAACGCTTTTAAAATCCAAATAAAATGCATATTTGTCAATCCCAGCACATGTACTGATCATATATATCAAAAAAACTTAAAATAAGCCGTTTTGAAAAAATTTCATATTTCAACATCTATAATAATACACAAGATAAAAATGTTCGTCGGAAAAAATCCGCACCCCTACCGTCATAATCACCATGTATTTTATTCCATTTCCAATATTTTCACATAATCCTTTGATCCATCGACACAGAAGATATACTTCTTCACGATGATGGTCAATTTTTAACTTCAACGGTAATATAAACAACGCAACAGCCGAAATAAACATCAAGATTATAGCCGTTTTCCTTCAATGACATTATCTTTCGATAAATTCAAACGTGCCAGTCGGCTATGACCGAAGCCATCCGATTATGTGGTTCCCAAACTTAAAAGCGCTGCGCATTTTGCACACGGCATTTTGCACACGGCAAAGCTGGGGCCACATTATCGGATGGCTTCGGTCATAGCCGACTGTTGTTAACAAGGATAATTTTGTTGGCCAGTATTTGAGGGAACAAAGAATTGACTTTGCTTTGTTGACTGAAACATGGTATTCTGACGAAAAACAACATCAGTATGAAACGTCTGATCTCAATCAACACGGTTACAAAATCAGTGTTGCAAACAGCAATAACAAAATTGGTGGCGGTGTTGCTTTGACTTGTTTAAAACCGAAAATTAAAAATGAGAAAGATGGGAAAATGGGACCAAAACAGTTTTGAGTTTGGCATATGGAAACTCATTTTTCAAAAGTATAACAGTACACGTAGTTGGTTTATACAGCCCCCCATCCCTAGCCACATGTGAGCAATTTGTAACTGACTATTTCAAAAATTTCATAGAAAGAATATCTTACCTACATACTCTAACTTGTTGATTATGGGAGATTTCAACATTCACCTTGACAATGGTAGTGGTGCAATCTACAAACTTTCAAAATTGCCCTTCATGCTATGGGGTTTTTAGAGCCAACATGTCAACAATGAACACCCACTAAGACAGAATTCATTATGTTTGGTAGTAAGCCCAACTTGGTAAATGTTTAATTAAAGAATTTGATATCGGCCGGTGATAAAATTCAAAAATGTCAGTGTCATAAGATACTTAGGTGCCTACATAAGACGAGGGCCTAAGATTTCAACACATGTTAAGACCAAGTGTAGAACTGCCATGTTAAATTATTTGAGAATAAAGAGCATTCGCAAATATCTGACTCAGGACGCCACAAAAATCCTAGTATTGTCGCTTGTAATCTCAACATTTGGATTATTGCAACGCTATTTTGTTTGGTATTTCAGAAAGTGAGTTACAGAAAATTACAGCGTATCCAGAATATGTGCGCTAAAACTTGTTTTGGCAACGCGGAAAATATGATAGTTCCAAAGACTCTTTATTGGAAACTGCATTGGTTACCAATTAAAGCTAGGATCAATTTTAAAATACTTTGTACAATGTATAATTGTTTTATGGGCAATGCTCCGGTTTATCTTACAGAACTGTTACACAAGCCTGTCATAAAAAGACCAAATCTCAGATCTGTTGATAATATGGATTACTGTTTTGCTGTCCCCTTTAACAAAAGGAAAACATTCAACGACAGAAGTTTTAGTAACCGTTTTGGTCCAACTCTCTGGAATAAATTGCCCTGTATATAAGACAGTCTTTCGACTTTGACATGTTTCAAGAAAAATGTCAAAACCCGTACTTTTTTAGAGATTTTTACGCATTGTTTTAAGATTGTGATTGGGCTGTAAACTGATAGAGATGGTGGAAATGTGTTTAAAATTTTACTGAAATAACCCATTTATTTTTATTTTCTTTTAAATTATCTTTTATTGTTATTTTTTATAACTATTCTTTTTTTTTTTTTTGATATCTTTAACATATTTTTTTGTAGTTCATTTGTCATTTGCATATGTGTGTTTTTTTTTATCTATATGTACATACTTTTATTATCCTTTTGTACAACGCCATTGAATATGTATATAGAAATAGGCGTTTAATTAAATAGAACAGTTTCAGTTTCAGTTTTATCTTAATTGAAATCAGAAGTAGGTCCCAGTAGCCAAAAATAGAAAAATGTTTTTAACACACATTTCTAGCTCAAATTTTTGTAAGGTTAGTCTAGAGTTAAGAAGTTGGTCACACAGCCTGATTATGGAAAAACCTTGTTAACTTTCTGTCCAATTTATTGAAATTGTTGGAAAGGTTGTTTATGCAGACTATTATTGAATAATGAAAATTCTAAATAACATCTGAATTGATTTTATTATAGATTTGACTTTATCAATAAATAAAGAAGTATTTCATTTGAAAATCAATGTGCAGAGATAATTACGACACACATATTATTGCATCAAATGTGCAGAGATAATTACGACACACATATGATTGCATCAAGGTACAGTACATAGATCTGTAACATGGAAAGCTATACAAAAGGATGTACTCTAATTTAGTTAATTAAGTCTTGTAAGATGACTCAATTAACTGACTTTGTATAGAGTTCCAGTCAGGTCATGTCTTTCATTAGATAGCAACACTAAAGACTCACTATTACTGTTTCAATATTCTATACTGCAGTCAATAAAAGGGTGTTTCGCAAACTGATTTCTGCATTTCTCATCTATTAACTTGCCTAGCAATACACAGCACTAGTCTGTTGGAACATAACCACTTCCTAGGCTCATAAATAACTTTGGAAGAAATACGCCTTTGTTTGAGTCACTTGTTAGGGACATTTACTTAAGCCAGAAGATGACCCTATTGATTTTGAGGTCAGTAGGTTAAAATCAACATGGCCTTGATGAAAAATGGATTGTATTATCAAGCAATGTATACCTCAGTGCTTTCAGTGCTTTGATTTGATTATACATGTAGAAAGAAACACTAAAGGTATCACATGTATTAATATATATGTTATCATCAGACAAACGGCAATAACAGATGAAAATATATATTAGTTAATAAAATAACAATTTACTTGCAATTTCGCCATGGCACAATTTACCATTTTTTACAATTTTTCATCTTTCAAATTTAAGATTTTGATATTATATGGAATGAACAGTCTCCAACATAATTTATATGCTCTCTTTTGAAATCAAATTGATTCAGAGACAGGTTTTAGATTTCTTCTTTCTGATAATACTATTTCTGATAATACAATGAACATGTATATAAAAATTTACTGATTTATTTGATAGCATGAAATAAATCATAAATAATGACTTGATAATAAGTCTCGAAGTAACGGATTATTTCTCTCTAAAAATAACAAATATGTCTTCCTGTTGTTTGTTCAGATGTTTATTCAGGTTAAAATCACATAATGAAACATGCTTTATTTTGAATTACATAAAATGATTAAAATAAATAATTTAAATTTCTGTTGTGGTGTTACTGCTGATCAATGCATTGGTCCTAGAAGCTTCGAGAACACATACTGTACAACAATTTGACAGACAAAAACACGAAACACGACAGAAAACAATAAAGAAACACCTAGCTTTAAATCGTCCTTTGAAAGTAGTTTAAAAAGTAACATATCAACACCGAACTCACAAAACGTTGCAGATCAAACAAATTATCACAAATTGTAACTTATTACAGCCACTTTACATAGGATTACAACAGTAATTTTCTTTTGATGTTATAAACAATTAACAAATACATAGTCATTGAATGCTGATTGAAATTTAAGACAATGCGGTGCTTAAATTTGTATCCGTCGTACAAACTGTATTGAACTGTAAAAGCTAGTCTTTAGTTAAAGAAAGTAATTAAGTTCTAGCAAGTGAATACCTAGAAATTACTTGAAAACGATATTGCCTGAAAAAAACATCGAACTAAACTAGAGCGAAATTTCGTCAGCTGCTAGAACATGATCGACATGATTCTGTCAGTATTGTGTCAACATATATCTGGACACTCGTTTGTGAGTGCATTATTATTACAGTAGAACATTTTTCCTAACATAAAAAACAGAAATTGTAAAAATGAGATGTATCAAAAGTAAGAAAAATAGTGTATAATTAAGAAAAAAATACAATGAATATAAAAGGATAATACACGTTTAATTAATTCTAACCTGACAAAAATATAGAAAACAATTACAAAGGAAAACATAAAAGATTGATTGCAACATAATGCATGCTCACATTTGTAAGTGTATGATAAAAATACAAAATCATCATTTACTTTCGAGAACTATATTTTGATATAGAAACTTCAAAGTTGTGCTGTTTTTTTCTCATATGCATATACATTTTGTATAGAAAACATCCATGAATATAAGATAGAGAAGCCCTAAATAACGCCCAAAGCGACGTTCTCGAAAACGTTGCAGGCACCGTTTGAATGAGCTTGCTCATGGACGGCAATGATAAAGGCAATGATAAAGGCAATAATAAAGACAATGATAAAGGCAAAGGCAATGATAAAGGCAATGATAAAGGCAATGATAAAGGCAAGTTATCGTCCGCGTACCCTAGCATCGACTTAAGGAGAATCCAACATGTAACATGAACTGGTAAAATTTTGAATTTTGAAATATTCGCAGATGTGCTCTTATGATGGTTATCATAGGACCTTGAATAAAACACTCACGCTTGTGGCATTCCATTTAAAGCGGTATATGGTCCCAAATTAAAATAATGCGTGTACCTTAATACTAAATAAAATTGAATTTTGAAAGAGGATCAGAGGTCATAAAGACTGCATATCACGGATCAGCTGCAGTCACAAGACAAAGTAAAAATCAGGCAACATATCCTAAGTGTGATTAAACAGTATTCAATTAGTATACTGGAACCACCCAACTAGAAAAAACGCCAAATTAGAAAGATGTAAAGTACAAAAAAAATGCGCTTTCAACAATAATGTCGTGCTGAACGATCTTTATAGGTAAAACATTTGACATCATGGACTGTATGAATGGGGTAACTTTTTTTGGCTACCACGCGGCAAAATAACACCGACATGACAATAAAATAGAGAAAAGCGAAATCCCTAAAGAAGACCTAAACGACAAAATTGAAAATGCTGCAGGCTTGGTTGATTGAGCTTTTTGATGGACGAAATGGAAAATGCAAGTTACTGTCCACGCAAATATACTGAAATTATTTTAATTTGTTTCAAGAATCAAATTTAGCGAGGAAACACAAATTGTATGAAGTTAAAATAGAAAATATGGAAAACTTAAAGAACTCCAAAATCTTCAAAATTGAAAATACCACAGACGGTTTGACTGAGCCTGTAAATGGACAGTAGTGGTTTGTTTAAGTTACTGTATACACGCCTTCAACATTCAAACATGAAATAGAGAACTTTGAATTAAGAAACAAATTCAGATGCGGTACGGCGGTCATTATGGAACCTTCAATGTGATACTTTGTTGACACTCCATAAGTCAAAGGCGTATGGTCCTCGAGTTAAAATGATATGCAGTTAAGCCTAAACTAGAAAACAATAAATCTTAAATGCCAGCAGCGACTCAAACTAAGATTAGACCGTTCTAAACATTAAAAAAAGTCTGGAAAAAAAGTGTGATCCCTCGGAAGCATTAATCACAACAAATTTGTATGAAAATTGCAAAGTCAAATTTATAAACTAAGCAATGTTAGAGTAACGGTTAAACATGCTAACTAAGAGGTGAAATGCTAATCAATAAAACATTCTTGTTAATTAGGGAGATACAATCAATATCATTATGCTTTTCTAAACACTGATTGTTTGGAATATTATGAGTCTTATTAAACATATCAACATCAACGATCATACAAGTTAATATAACACTACAATTCACCGAGATATCTACTATGTATCATATTTATCAATAAAATGATACAGTTACACATTTGTACAATACATCTGATTTTTTCTTCTTTTTAGGTATAATATTAAGTAACTTAACTGACGTTCATGACTTCTTTTGACGTTTAAGTCCTCATATTTCGAAATGAGATAACTTTTACATATGCAGATACTCCTGTCAAAGTATTGGCATCTATGTTGTATAATTTCATCGTGCCTAATATATATATTCGTCCCGACTTTTTATTACACGCTCTAATTCTTTATCAGAAATCGGTTCAACAACAAAATTAATCTCTTTCCAAGCCTTAAACAAGTACGATTTATTTAAAACTTTGTCAGTAACTTTCATCTTTTTGTTATTTTTCTTCAGTTTCATCACAGGAAATTCAGTGTTCATGAACTCAAAAACACCACCGAAAGAATATCGACATTTAAGACATAAAACTTTACCATCGGATTTGAATTTCTCATCTTCAAATTTTGGCTTTTCATCACGTACATATATAACCCTTTTAACAACATCATCTGCAATCACTATATGATGACTTTGAAATTTTCGAATATCTGTTGACAAACAGAGAAAAGCATCACAGATAAAACAGTGAACATGTTTCACACCAGGAGTAAGGTTTGCCATCATTTCTTGTTCTCTTCGCTGCTCGGTTGCTACTTTTTCTCCCTGTATGACATTCAATTCCAATACCCACTGTTGTTGGTTTGTCTCAATGCTGTCACGTAGATCTTGCAAAACACGTTCCATTATTTTCTCGCGTACTTCAAGTTCTTCTTCCCTTTGTATAAGGTTTGACCCTTCCTCAGTCAGCACATAATAAGAGCTATCTTTTGTTCTTGCTCGGCCTAGGATTAAACGTATATTAATTTCTATTAAGCAATTTGAGTAACACATTTCATAACGGAAGCAAAATTATCAAAACATGATATTATTAAGTAAATGTAGAATTGAGAAGCTGAAACCTTGAACATCAAACATCACAGCTTAATTTGAAATACTTTGTCAAAAGAACTATTTTTGGTTCTGTCTAGATTGTGCAATATCAGCGTTTCTACACACTTGAGTCAGAAGGGCCATAATGAGTTAAGCTTTAAAAACACGGTATAACCTTTACACTGTCAGTGTTACTTAAAGCCCAGGCAAAACAAAATAATAGTAAAAGATAAAAAATAAAAATTTTGAAAATGTCTTTTTGTAGTTTAATCTTATGATTGATTAACGGCAAACAATATTCGTCAGAAAACAATACCTTTTTAAATTTTAAGTATGAAAATTAGAAGTAACGATACCTCTTGATTGTAGCCGTACTATTTCGTTTTTGACATTCTCATACCGAATGACAAGATTGCAAGATGTCACATCCAACCCTTCTTCAGCAACCGATGTAGCTACTATTACCTTATGCCTTCCATTCTTGAAATACTCCAGTACGTCAATTTGACTAATTCTTGACATGCCTTGCAATAAAGAGATCTATTTTTTAAAAGAAAATCTGATAGATAAATTGTATCTTTTATTTCTGAAAATATGACTTCTGATAAATACCATTGCTGTTAAAGAGATGCAGATAACGAATAATCGATAGTGTATGTAAGGAAAAGGGTACTTCTGGTCTACTTTCTGCACATTGTGTGTCAAAAACTACAAAACAACATAAATATGAAAGTAATCAATATCTTACTTTTTCTTCCTAACAGCTCCCGTGCATTTAGTTTTCTGAGGAATTCATTTTCATTTATCCATTTTGTAATTGCCCTAGCCAGATCAACTGTTTTTGTGAAAATAATGCATCTTGATTCTTTTGTCCTCATATGTTGCAATAAAATCGTTTCTAGTTTCTTCAGCTTTGGATTTTCAGGCTCATCTTTAAAGTTTTCCGCTTTGAGACCTATTTAAGTAAACACATTTGTATGTGCACATAAAATATAACAAGAGGGCCATGATGGCCCTAGATCGCTCACCTGACTTATCAAACTCATCCAAACAATTACCTAGACAAGCATTCTGACCAAGTCTCATGACAGGTGAGTCAAAAATGTGACCACTACAGTGATAACAAGGATTATCCATATTTGAGCAGTGCGACATAGTTTTTTTCCCAGGTGACACATATTCAAACTTGACCTAGAAATAATCAAAACAAACTTTCAGACCAATTTCCAGGATACTTGGATCAAAACAGTAGCAACTAGAGTGTTAACAAGATTTTTCTATTTTTAGCTCCGGTGACCTAGTTCCACATGCGATTTCGAACTCATCCAAGCAATTACCTAGACAAGCATCCTGACCAAGTTTGATGATAATTGAGTCGAAAATGTGACCACTAGAATGTTAACAAGTTTTTTCCATATGTTCGAACTTGACTTAGAAATCATCAAAACAAACTTTCAGACCAATTAACAGAATATTTGGATCACAACAGTAGCCACTAGAGTGTTAACAAGATTTTTTTAGCTCCGGTGACCTACTTTTTCATCCGAGATGACCCATGTTCAATTCATTCCTAGCAATGACCTAGACCTGACCAAGTTTGATGAAAATTGAGTCAAAATTGTGACCACTAGAGTGTTAACAAGGTTTTTCTATTTTAAGCTCATGTGACCTAGTTTTTCATCCGAGATGACCCATGTTCGAACTCATCCGAGCTATTACCAAGACAAGCATCTTGATCAAGTTTGATGATGATTGATGCAAAAATGTGACCGCTAGAGTGTTAACAAGGTTTTTCTATTTTTAGCCTCGGTGACCTACTTTTTCATCCGAGATGACCCATGTTCGAACTCATCCGAGCTATCACCTTGACAAGCATTCTGGCCAAGTTTGATGATGATTGAGGCAAAATTGTGACCTCTAGAGTGTTAACATGTTTTTTTTTTTATTTTAAGCTCCTGTGACCTAGTTTTTCATCCCAGATGACCCATGTTCGAACTCATCCGAGCTTTCACCTAGACAAGCATCTTGACCAAGTTTGATGATGACTGATGCAAAAATGTGACCGCTAGAGTGTTAACAAGGTTTTTCTATTTTTAGGCTCGGTGACCTACTTTTTCATCCGAGATGACCCATGTTCGAACTCATCCGAGCTATCAACTAGAGAAGCATCCTGACCAAGTTTGATGATGATTGGGTCAAAAATGTGACCACTAGAGTGTTCACAAGGTTTTTCTATTTTTAGCTCCGGTGACCTAGTTTTTCATTAGAGATGACCCATGTTCGAACTTATCCAAGCAATTAACTAGACAAGCATTCTGACAAAGTTTGATGATGATTGGTTCAAAAATGTGACCGCTAGAGTGTTCACAAGGTTTTTCTATTTATAGCTCATGTGACCTAGATTTTCATCGGAGATGACCCATGTTCGAACTCATCCAAGCAATTGACTATACAAGCATCCTGACAAAGTGTGATTGGTTCAAAAATGTGACCGCTAGAGTGTTCACAAGCAATTGTGGACGTACGACGGACGACGGACATTCACCGATCCTAAAAGTTCACCCTGAGCAAGCTCAGGTGAGCTAAAAAAAAACTGTATCCGTAAAGAAAGCCCAACACGCCAAAATTGAAAATGTTGCAGGGCTGGTTTGATTGAGCCTGTGCCTGGACGGTAGTGGTAATTGCAAGCTACCACAATTATATAATGATATATATACAAAGAAGCAAAGCCAAGTTAAGTTAAGAAAACCCCGAAGGTTAACCACACCAGTAAACTCTCAACCACTTATTCAAAATCAGAAAATGAACAGTTTTATCGTAAAAACATCCTTATAACCAGGTGTTTCTCTTTTCGTTTTGTAACATTTTAGTTTTTTTCATGATATCAATTCCAAGGAATATGTTCCGTCTATTGTCAATCTAAGACATTAAAGAATGCTTAAATAGTCGAAAAAGTAGGTAAAAATTACAATTTGAGAATACGTGAACTTTATCAGCGTATTTATAATGATCCAATTATCATTATATTAGATTTAGAATAGTTCATAATTATTTTTAATTTATTATTTACTCATTTTGTACAATCAATGGTCAATCCCTCACTTGTGTAAAGATTAGCTAGCATTCTGTCTGTCTCATTTTCTTCACTTCCTGTCTCAATAGAATTTTCTAAGACTGCCAATGAATCGCAAATTCGTGCATCCGTGTGCATCATCAGAGCTTTATTGTAGACCTAAGATGAGAAAAAGGAAAGTTCAAATTTCAGAATTATTACATTTACAGGACTTTTCAATCAAACGTTTGCCAAATATCTTATACATTATTTTACAATTTAGCCGTCTTTAATAACAATATTATTGCTTATTTGCATCTCCATAAAATGTTTATCTCTAACATGTTTATGTGTGAAATGAGGCAATTTATAAAATATATGCTCTCTGAAAGATACTTTTTGAAAGGCATTTTCAAGAATCAGAAATATATAGTTTTACTTGTCTAACAATGAATACGCCTTTTAATCGGTCCCAGCTTCATGCTTTTTATTCAGTTTCATCTTAATTCACAGTTAAACGGCATAATGTATCTTGATGGACATGCAGTATTGCTGTTGATTGCGAGCTAGGTTCTCGGACGTGTCATTTGTAAGACATAAAAATATCTGTAGAAACTTATTTTAACGAAAGCAATAATGTATGAATAATCACTTCTAGATGACGACAACATGGGCTTAACACCCGAATAACACGGTCATTTCGAAGTTTAACTATATTATCCTGGAAACTGCTGATCCACTGAATGAACTGTTCTGAGCCTTTGTTGAGAGGCACTATACAACAATCCTTTATTGATTCCTCGTCTCTTGAAAGCATTGTTAAACCTTAAAACAATGTAAAATCAAACAACCAATCAATCAATCAATCCCTATGAGGTTTGACAATTTGCTATCTATGCTGGTTAATTCTGCATTATCTACGCTTGTATTGAATTGCATTAAAGGCATATTATACCTCAGACATTGTCTAGGAATGTCAAACAGGTTTTTAATAATGCTATAAAAATGTAGTTAAAGTATGTAAGATCTTTTACATGAAAGTAGCAATGAACGTGTATAAATGTGTCATATAGGTAGCACAATGTAAACAAAATAGTATTTTGACATCCTTACAAAATACTAATATACTATAATTTTACCTATGCCAATAGAGCAAATACAGTAAAATTTAGGTCATCTATGTGGTAAATGAGTATTTTATAAAACTGTAACTAGATACCAAAAATAAAAGTTTTTCAGAAATAAAATTGATGGCCTTTCTGAGGCATATTGTTAACCAATGTATTATCAGATATGCATGCAAAATGCAAATAATGGTCAGTAAATGACTTGGAATCGGTATATCATGTTCAAAGCAATGATCCCTTTCTTGCTGTACGTGCACATTTGAGTAAAAACTGGCATTTTTCAAATTTATATTTAGAGAATTAATTTATTTATACTTTTTTGTGATGTTTGTTGGGTCGGAACGGTTACTCTGATTATTAAATGAAAAAGTTCTTACTGTAATGATTCGCCATATACTGATCTATTTTGTTCATGATAATCACAATAGCCTCTCTATACCGATCATTTGATCTCTTTTTAGAGACCACTTTATCTGCAATGAAAAACAAGTAGAACGTTTCAGAAGCATTCGATTTGAAAAATAATTTTACTTTATATTAGTGTAAATTCAAAATGCCAATCAATGGCTGACATCCTTCTATTAATTAATTGTAATAATTGCACAGCCACAGATAAAGTAACCTTGTTTGGTGACCGAACAAATTCTAATAACTGTCTGAGTAAGTTTTTTATTCATGCTTTTTTATTTGAGCACATTATTTTAATTACATCTACATTAATGAAAGGCTTGCAGATTTCTAAAACATAATGCTTTTAAAATTGAAAAGAAGGAAAGTGTGTGCTTCTAATTTTCAAATATATGTTAAAATAAATACATTTTTTTTGTAAATGAATAAATAAAACTTTCACTACATAACTGGTCATATAATCTCAAAATGTCAAAAAGAAACTGAATGCAAAAGGGATTTACATTCTTTTGCTTTATTTGCAAATTCACACTGTTGTTCATAATTATCACGGGTTCTGCTTAGAAAGTGTGCATCTAAGTTGGCCATAATGTATTTCATATGCTTTTTCACAGATGCTTCTTCGATGCTGCCACCTACACCAAGACTGGCTGTAAGTCCTACTATCTAAATTTAACCCAAAAGGCAAATATTATACATATAATACAAAATTGTTCAGTTAATATTTTGAAATGTAAATAATCTAATATTAATAACTGCTATGATGTGCTTGTATTTTGACTCAAAATGTCTTTACATGAACTATTGGTCTAACCTTTGGAAAATATGTTTTAGATATAGTTACTCTTACGTGACTTATAATCTATGAATTTAAAATTATTTATCTTAAAATTTCAAGATACATGTGTAATTGGACAAGGTTTGTTCCGGAATTAGCATATTATATATTTTGTGTTCTGTAATAGTCATAACATTCCGAATGAAGGATATTGAACCCAATAGATCTGCTTAATTAATTTTTACCTGTGGAAGCCCGACATTGTCCCGTATTTTCATATCTAGGTAAACACTCATCACTTGGTTGTAGCTGTGGTATCTTGTAGTGTGATGGCATTCATCGACCACAATCAAGGAAAATTCTTTTATACTGTTTACTTCTTTAAGTTTCAATGAATTCAAAAGGACTTGAGATGTAACTACAAGTATATCTCTTCTGTAACAAACGTTAAAATGTTTTTAAGTATAGTAACAAATTCAATAATTAACTCTCTATACTGTTCAGTACCATTTATGAATACTGTAAGTAAAATTATATATGTTCCAAATAAACTATCATTCTGCTAATTTAAGAAGGGTTTGAACAGTTTAACAATGATTTCTAACATGTTCTATCCACATGGAAATTTTAAAGGAAAATAACGTTCATAAAGGAATATAAAGTTAGCATTTTTATACCTATATATGTAATCTTTCAAATAATGTTTTTTCTCTCGTTGCACTCTTCCAGTGATCACTTTGGTTGTGTAGTAAGGCAAGTGTTTTGCACATTGTTGTCCCTGTTGAAACGCCAAAGGTTCCGTATTTACTACAAATATAACCTTTGCAGGATCACCAATGGCTGTTTTTGACCGAATGTGATCCTGCATAAAAATGGAAGAAGGAAATATATATAAGCATATTTTGTTCTATTTTATTTCTACTTGTTCTTATTGTTATCATTTTGTACAACTTATGTGTCACTTAGTACAATATTGAGACTATCAACTAGAATGGTAATAATAATATTGTTTACGGTGATATCATTTTTGAAATGGTAATTCCATTTGTAAATCTATTACATTTCAAAATAGATATTTCGCATGGTTTCTTCTTATACAAACTTCTATCGGCAACAGATTTCTTTCAGCGTTAAAATAGAGTAGAACAATAATGAAAATTAATTTGAATAATTTGATCAATAAATCGTCCTTGTCTGATAAATATATACGTCTCAAATTATTTTTTTTTTTGCTATGCGTCATTTGAAAAAATGTATAACGCATAAGCTTTATTTCAATCGATAAGATAAGTAAAATAATTACCTGTATAATTTTGCATGCAACTCTTGTTTTACCTGTATTTGTAGGTGACACAATGATTACGTTCTTACCCTCCCGCCCTTTCTGTGCTAGTTCCATCTGATAGTCTCTCAAATCTATGGGAGTGTCCTCTACATCCTTTCTTACATCGACATCTGTTGTATAGATACACACAATATAAATATAAAAAAAAAATCTTTAGAATGATTAACGTGTGTAGACATTTGATATGATACATACAATATGTATGTTCCTTGTTAGATTATATTTGGTTTTGATTGAAAATCCTTAAATTTTGGTAATTTGTTCTACAACTCTGTAAAGTTTTAACAACATGACTTAGTTTGTTGAAGCTGGAAATATTCGCAAGTTTTTAACAAACGATGTTTTCACGACTATAAACGTTCGGGGATATACGTCTTCCACACATAAAACGCTAACTTTAAAGCAGGAAATAATTTCACAGAATACAGTAACTTAAAAGATACAAGTACAAATCAATTGAGAAGCTCCGCGCAAAAAATGCGCTCATTACAGATACCTAACCAAATCAACCCTACTATTCCGGATGTTTTGTAAATCATTTAAATAAGCCTAATTATACTTATCGTATGCACTGTCAATGAGAAAGAGCGCCAGATATCAAATTTTAAAAAAGATGCTTTCTCTGATGATGTCTACCTGGTAAGGGAAGTTATTCCAATACAAACAAGACTTACAAGACTTGTAATGTGACATGACAATATTGCAACATTGTTCTGTTTGTGTCACTATTGTAGTAAGTTATATTAGATGAAAAAACATATTAAAGCATGTACATTTTCTTTTTCACCAATAATGCTGCTCATTTTCTACAAATATCAACAGCTAATCATGGTATGAAATATCCATATAATATGTAAATAAGCCATAACAAAAACTTTCATCGACTTTATTTTTTAAAATTTTGCGGAAAATGGTATATTATGATATAACAAGAAAAGAATTGATGCAAAGCATCAAAGGGCGCCCAAGCAAGAAATGCAGCAAGTGAAGATGAACTAGTAGACATCTGATGACCATATATTCTTAAAAACTTTTCAATAGTTAATTGGGTTTTACCAGAATGGTATATCATAGATGAATGGGCGGACGAAAGACATTGTTCATCATGAACTTTGGTAGGCTTGCTAGAGATTAGAATATTAAATCTATTTTCTTTGGAACATACAAAACAGATGTAACAACTATACAAAAAGTATATAAAAAATAGTAACATCAGGTATCAATAATGACATAAGATACAGAAGTAGTCCCAGATAAATACTGAAGGTAGAACGAACACTCACTGGAATGAAAAATTTGGAATGAATTTCAAAAAGACCAAATTCAGGAATTTATTTTGTTATACGAGTTAACCAAAATAATGGTACATTCAAATTATGAATAAATTTTCATGGCATGTTGATATGGTGAAACATTATTTATCAATATAACATGGTACAGAAGATAACTTTATCTTCTGAAGATAACTATATCTTCTGTCTCATATATTTCAAACAGGTATGAGAAAATTCTAATTCACTAACGTCATGTTCATGAGAGTCAAAGATATAAAAGCTACTTAACATCGGTAATAAATAAAAAGCTATTTTTGATTGATTTATCGGAAGATCAATCTACTATTTGGCTGAATTGCTTCAAAATCCTCGTATGACAACCTCATGTTAAAACTGCCGACGAAAGTGTCTGTTGTTAAAATGTTACAGTATTCGGCAAATCAACGTTCCCCTTCAACATTCATAAAACCGATTGCCTTTAAACAAAATAGAATCAACGTTTTACAGCAAAAATTCGGTAAATCGGGGTCGATTTAAATATTCACGGCTAAAAAATATCAGAAGTGCAATCAGGGCCGTAAAAAGAAAGAAGCAAAGAACCTACGGAAAAGACAATTTCAAAATGATAATACTATGATACAACTTTTCGTAAAAAATTAGCAAACTTAAATTGCTTCGGTAAATTTAAATAAAGACTGCAATTTATTATTGAATATGTTTGCATTCCATGTCCTGCAAAATTCGTTCGTTATTTATTACACTAGCGCGGCACGAATGACCGTTTCGTTAAGCTAAAACTACTTCTATAAATATATTTTCGAACTTTCAGTTTCACAATGTTAAGGTCATCTATTTTCACGTGTACATAGCAATAAAATATGCATAACCCACTGTGTACTACTAAATAATAAGTAATTTCCTGTAGGCGATACATAGGTAAGAAATAGATTACCGAATTTAAGTTTATTTTTAGTTTTGTCTTTAATACTGCCTTCGTGAAACTTGTTCTCGTTCTAATTCATTAATGCTGCGAATCATCGAAGGGGATTCGAATACATTACTTTACATAATAAAAATCAGAAGTAATTATTGGCTCCGAATTTATTTTTAGCTGTAAATCGAAGGGATTAATTGATAAAAATCGGGTACATGGACACAAAAAAATAGTAAACATAAATAGCTCCGCGCCTGTGGGCGCGGAGCAATAAATCAATGGCGATCACCAAATGAATAAAAATACATAAACTAGACTAGTAAATGGGAACAACTGGCGAAAGAGAAGAAAGTGTAAAAACATTGTGTCCTGGAGAAAAAACGTGTTTGTTTTTTGTACAAGCTACTTTAAGTGTAACATCACAAAGAGTCGTTAACAAATTTAAATTGTCAGAACCCAAAGAACAAAAATGAAATGCCATAACCGATAACAATATTACAAATCATAACATAAAGTACGATTTTTTTCTTTTTACTACCTATGCACAGGTGCACAAAGTAAGGATGCGACGCCTCTAGCTCTTAACTGTAAAGATAGGATTTATCTTTCCAAAATGGATGAACTAACCTGTTGGTAAGCCTGGTATGACATCTTCTTTATCATCGTCTCCAAATTGTGCTAAAACATATATTAAATATTATCTTAATTTTCATTGAAAATTTATCATAAACATTTTTACTGCTTTTAAATTTGAATGGAAAATAAGAAATATATGGTGACACTTTTTGCATATCGGCGTCGATAAAGTCTCACTCAAACCGTATTTTCTAGATGTCATTTTTCAGATATATACATTATTGCCTTTAATTCTGTACAAGTCATTCTTTGATGGAAAAAATAAAATAAATGATTAACTTGAGATATTACATCATATATCAATAATAAAGAATGAAATATATACCTTCAATATTATCATTTTCAGTAGAAGGATTATTACTTCTACCGGATGCATCTTCTTTCTGTGAATTCCAAAAAGAAAAAGATATAGAAGCTATCCAATACAACAGGACAGTATTGTTTATTAAGACTCATACATGTATTAATCAGAAGTATTATTCAATTATTTTTAGCGTTAGATCGTATAAATTTACTGCATTTTCTAGTTTTCTGTTCAATGCTTCGATTACAGTTAAGCGGGCACTTAGGTCGTCTTCACAAAGAAACAAAAATGAATTAACTGATCCTGACGTTTCTTTTTGTTTATTATAAGAAAACGGGACAAAATTTGACAGTTGTTTTTCGATGCCATATCACAAAGGGGAAAACCCTTTACCTTTAGCTTTTCTATGTCATCTTCATTTTGCTGCATTCGTGAAGCTAAATCAATTATAGCTTTTTCATTGCTTTCGGTTTTCGACATAACTCCGGACAATGTGTTTGCGTCCAATTCATACTTCTGCATCTTTTCAAGAAGATCCTCTTTAACACGTTCGGCAATCGTTTTCATCTCTTCTTTTTCAATACGAATTTGATTGTTCTTCAGCTTATTGTAAATAAAATAAAGCCAAATGAACAGATGATTATAGGATAATATTGTATTGTTTATATAAATATTGTACTGTAACAAATATTTTCATCGTCAGAGTTTTTCATCCCACTGCATGATAATAGTTTCACGAAAAGTTGCATTAAATTAAATTCTTAATCAAATATAAAACGACTAAATACAACGGTATAAGCAAAAAAAATATTTTAATGTTCCCCGTTAAAAGGACTATCTTTTCCTTTAAAAAGTACTATATATATATTTTAGTTTTGTACAAATTTTGTTAACGATAAACAATACATACCAAAGTTAATTTCTTAACAGCTGAAATCGCATCAGAATCACCAATAAGCATATTGGGATCTTGCAAAACCGATATAAAATTATCAAGATAACAATGTAATTGCTGCTCGGTCAGCTCTTGATTAGCTTTGTGGCACAATTCGTTCCTATAGTCCCTTGCCTAAATAAAAACAACCAAAGCTACAAATTGTGTACATGTTACGGGTATATCTATGGAGTCTATGGTAATTATGAATGAATACGTCAAAATTAAAAAAGAAAACTCAGTTAAGCTTTAACTATACGGCATTTAATTCTTTTTCAGAATAAACTGTCAATTTACTAAATATGAAATACAATTTGTTTTCTTTGAAGCACGCGGGCATCCAATGGATTATAGTCGCGCAGGATCTACTTCTAGAAATTATAAGTCATCAAAATGCGATTAATTGTCTTATTTTCGTCAGTGAATAATACAAGTATAAAGTCATGAAATTTACAGGACATACCCGAGAAAGAATGTCATTTGGAGGATCGATGACACATGCAAGTTTCTGCTGGAAAAAGATGGCATTGATCATGATGTTCAAAAGACCTGATGCATCTGTTAACCTTGCTGAATCGTTCGAACATTTAGTGTCTGGAAAATAACACTTAGCAATGCTCCATGCATTAGTTGACCATTCACTCATGTCAGAATTTCTGAAAGATGGACTAGTAAAACGATGTTCTTGTACAATAAAGTCGAAAATTTTACTACATATCCCATCAGGGCATTTTCTTCTATTCTTGTTCTTAGTACAAATACAATCTCGGGATTTTTGTCTATTACATTGCCCACCAGCATGATATGGAAGAATATTGTCGAGTGTACAATTGCAAGGTGCTTGTGCATTCGGTTTAGCCTTTAAACTTTGCACTAAAATGCTATGCTTAATTGCAAATTCGCGGTCTACAAAAGGTGCAAGTCCTTGCTGCAAGAATTCGAGACCTTTAATTCCTCTTATCCAGTTTTTGAATTCAGGTTTGTCCAGTTCATTTTCCTCGCTTTCTTGCTCAGTCCTATGATCAGTGGCATCATCTTTATCATCAACATCAGTATCACCAGTCATGTCACTCATCTTCTAAATTTGTTTTACTTTGCCATGTTTTCAACTGTAAAACGAAATTACAACAATGCAGTATATAATAAAATGTCTCCCACTCTTTTTGCAGCCGATTCCGTCTTGATAAAGGCTGTTGTCCGTAGTAGTTGTACTTGTTTTAGAATTTAGCTTATACATATGAATACGTATAAAGAATATATTCATGTAAAGATATATATTTTAAAGAGCCTTGTGTAAAGTTATTCGGTATGCACAAATTATTTTTTGAAAGCATAACACATTTGATTCAATGTTGATATAATTATAGGATAATGCCAATATTATCGAATTTTTAGTATTTATGCCTAAACCTTATATCTATACGAGGATTGATCAAAAGGTTCTTGGTTCTCAGTTTCGGAAACAGGTTGAAGTCAGGGGGGCCAAGTCCGGAGAATATGGGGGATGGGGAAGAATTTCAAAGCCGCAGTCATTTGCAGCAGCCATCGCAATTTGGGATGTGTGCGCTGGCGAATTGTCGCGCAGGAGCAGAACGCCTCGAGTTAGTTTGCGCGTTTGCCTTTTACGCGCGATTTCTTGACGCAGAGGTCTCACTTCGTCTTCATGGTACATACCGTTATCGTACGACCTTGCTCAAGGTAGGCAATCATGATTATCTCCTGACTATCCCGAAAAATTGAAGCCATCATCTTCCCTGCTGATGGCACCCTCTTGAATTTCTTCGGAGGGGATAAGCCAGGGTGCTTCCACTACACGCTCTGTTTTTTTTTTATTATTCTGGATCGAAGTGATGGACCCATGTTTCATCCTGACTTACGATCTGGTAGATAAAATCAGGTTCATCCTCGTTGTGAGACAAAAGATATCTCGAAATGTCAAGCCTGGTCCGTTTCTGGTAGTCAGTCAACTGTCTGGGGACCCATTTGGCGGAAACCTTTGACATGCCATTGACATCAGTCAGAATTGCCTGAACTGAACCAAAGCTTATACCCACTTCCCTAGCAATGCTTCACAGGTATCGCCTTCTGTCGCACTTGACCAGATCAGCTTCGGTAGTTTCATCGCTGGTGGCCTCTTTTGGCCGCCCAGGCCGCTCATCATCTCAAATGCACTCCCTGCTCCTCTACAATTCAGCAGCCCATTTTTTTCACAGTGTATAGGAAGGGGACTCCTTCCCAAGTGTATCCATGATGTCTTCATGGATTTCCTTGGCGACGTCCCTTTCTAATAGAGGCACTTAATTAATGACGGCTCTGATTTCAACTTTCTCCATTTGGTCTAAATGACACACCCCTTTACTGATCAAAGTCTGTTTTATGTTACTTGATCTGTGTAAATCGCGTGTTACTCGGTCAGTAATCTTCACTTAGATATCGGTATCGACGTATCGTGTGTAAATGTCAGTGTAGTGGCTAGAAGTATATCTGGCCGAGAACTTTTTGATCATACCTTGTATATTAATCAACGAACAGAATGAAGCAAGTCTATTAATCACATTGATTAAGCTTGTTATTAAAGATAAAAAATCAATCAATAAGCCATTTGACATAAATATCATTTAACTTAATAATATTATGATCCTCATCCATGTGAGACTTCAATTCACGATAGCACGGATACCATAAAGATATATTAAAAATATAGTATGCTCGCCCCCGCCATTTTAACTTGTTATTTCTTGGCGGGGTCGCGGGGCGAAAACACGAATGGCACAGATAAGCCACAATAGTTAACACAATATGAATTTGATATATACACAATGTCATTTTATAATTAACAATTAACTTACTTATTTGCCTCACCGCACCTCTACTCTATACCCTACTCTACTCTCCTACACTTATATATAGTTACGCACGTATGCACGTAATTTCTGTTATCAAAACCATCGTTGCTTTTTTTTCTCTTGTAGCTAAAGAGACTTCAGCGAACAGGGTTTATAGTACTGCTGGACCTGTTCGCAAAATGTCAAAATAAAAGCGACATATAATTAAAGTTATGGAAGCCAGAACTATTTTTCTTGGAATAAGCTTTACATAATTACTTTATAAAATACAATGTGTCAATATACATGTATGTATACATTATACCTTTTAAAAAGTATCCATGGCTTAAACAAAATTTTACACCCGTCAGATAACAAACGTACTTCCTGTAAAATAAAATAACACGTAGAAGTTTAAAGTTTTATCTGCGCATGTTCTGATTCACAAATTAAAACTAACTTTGAAGGGTATTCTTTTATGCATAATTCTGACAAGTTAACATAATTATGATATGAGAAAATCCCCATAAAAGCTTTTATTCTTTACATTTTGTTAAATATCTGCTTTAATGAACATAATTCCAACTGATTGTTAGTCTTCGCTGCAAAAAAGTATTTGTTTTCATTGTATGTACGAGTAAACTCATTTCTAAAAAAAATATTATCGCTCCATATGATATTTATAATCATTATTTATTGGCAGCTAGAAAGCGGTCACAGAACAAAATTTGTGAAAATCAAATTATTTTCAGTGTTTTCACAAATAGTCTGTATAAACGGTATAAACGTCAATTAAACTTTCATTTCGGCACTTTGCCAGAGAGAGAGCCTGCATGTTTACATATGGAAAATGTTGGTTGTAATAACCGAGCATTAATTAGCAAGAAAAGTCATTGGCAGTGCTCACCCCTCTAGATTCATGCAAAATTTGATATAAATTAAGCAAGAAAAAATCTGTATGTTTGTAAAACAAATGTAAACAGTACTGTAATATTCCAATGTTCCGGAATATGCAGGAAAGTCCTTACTCTATCAATTTGTAGGAGACAGAAAAAAAAAATAGAGATTATTTGTATAGATATATCAAAGTTGTGCTTTTTAAGTCATACTTTATTTACAGTCAAAATATATCTTTTTTTAATTTTATCTATTTTTGTCCTGAAAATAAAAACATTAATTACGTTCTTTAAGGCTGGCTACCAAGAAGAAAGGCAAGCTTCAAGTAGGACTAGTTCGTTTAAAGATAGACTAAAACCGTTTTGACATATATTTTATTGAGGGTAAATAATTTAGTTAAGCCTATTCTTATTTTCAAATGGTACACAAAATCATGTATCCATATAATGTTTCTTGAATTGAGATGCAATTACACATATAACACGATTCAAGAAAGATTTAATTATTGCCTTTTAATCAGATTGGCTATGTGTTATCCTATTTTTATTTTCATTCTCTTGTTCAAAAAAGTATTTACTTATTTTGGAATGGTGAAATAATCAACATTTCTTTCCGTGTGTTCTTTGTATGTATTTAATTGTTTTGTTTTGGAATTTTTTAAAGGCGCTTTTGCTAGCTCTAAATACACTGCAAAAGTTATTTGCATCTGGGACTTAAAATGATCGTAAGTCCCAGTTTGCATATTCGTGTAACCACAGTATGACTATTTTTCAAGTTTGTTTATACTTATAAATGACATGCGGTTAATATCGGAGGGTAGCCTATTTTGTTTCTTATTTATTTTTGATCAGTCCAAAATTTGAAAACACTGAAGCCATAAAATATGAAAGGGTAAGAAACATGCATTTCACACAACCCCTAACAAGTAACAAGACCACCGTTAAGCCTCCTTTTGTGGTATCAGGGTCTTTCAAATATAATTTTTATTTGAAATACCATGGTGGTATTCAACCTTCGTTTTTCCAGATTATTATGTTTTTGTTTATATTAACACCGTTTGCAATTGTTTCCTCTCAAACTGAAAGTAGAAAATTAGCCAATCATCGCCACGCACGTGGATACGTAATTTCCGGCGAAAACATCGGTGACAGCAATAGGTGACAGATTGGTGGACAATTTTCCACGTCACAGATTGTTTTAATTTAGTGGCATTGATTGTTGGAACTATCATTATGCAATTTGACATTAGAAGGTTTGTACAGTATAAGCCAATATTCCTGATCCATCATCATTGAATATATATCATGCTTTTTCGTCAAAACTCGGATATTTTCGTATTTAATTAAAAAAGTTAACCGGCTGATGTTTTTTGCATACTGCACATTGTTGCTTTATACATGTACGTGCAGAGTAAATTGTGACAGTTTCTCTTTGTTATGCTTACTGAATGGAGAGATAACATTAAATCACAGACTATGCATTATGTTTACACGTAGGTTTTTAAAATTATCAGTTTAATATCTTCATGCACAGACACTTTGGGTTATGTGCGTGGCTCCCCTTCTTGATCCGCACTTGTATACACCATGCCTATTTTTATCGTGCAAACCGTACGTCAAAATATTTTTGCATATTATTACGACCTGGTCACATGTCTTGAACATAAAACTTGTTTTCCGCTCTTTTAACCGCTTTTAAAAAAGTCCCTAAAATACCATAATTTCATAAAGATAACAACATACGGTTTCCTTTGATGTGAGGCGACTGGAATGAGTTTTGTCACTGTTTTGTGCTTTCATTTCCATGCCGAGAACCAAAACCCCGCAGCGGTTACTTCCCCTAATCAGTAAAGAAATCAAATCAAGAAGACTGACCGAAAGGGCCGAGTAGTTGCGATTGAATTTCTTTTTCCCAGCGATTTTCCCGCTGTAATTTACGGGAAACATTCAAGTCGTCATGAATTCGTAAAGAAGCATGTGACACGGTTAGGAAAATATAATTGAATGTGCAAAGCTTGGAAGAAAGTTACAATCTGATTATAACATGCATTTATTTATTAAAAGAATATATGCATCGACTGATTTATACCAGAATAAATGGCAGGGTTCGACACTAACGGGGTCCCGGGATTCCGAGGATCCCAAAAAGTCGGGAGGAATCCCTGTGATTCCTAGCTGGGGATTCCGTTGGGATCCCTGAAAAATTGCTGTGTAAATTTTTGAAATTTTCTGAATTAATGAATCACAAATATTCAAGAAAAGTGGTTCAAGAAAGAAAAGAAAAACCGTGCCGGTAAAATCTACACTCTTGAATTATGTACGCTAGATTTTCTTTGAGCAGTGACTGCTATCAACTCATTTGCGATAAAAAATGACAAAAATGTTTTGACTTAAGAAACATTCTTGTATAATTTTATATCATGCATTGACTTCATAAAATAGAGTTGTGAAAATTCAAAAAAGAAACGTAATTATCGTATAATTATTACACAAGCGATGTGTACTTCAAATTTGTGTTGATCGTCAATGCCGGCGGTAGCTAATGTACGTTTGTTGTTTGTTTTTTTATTGCCAAAATTCGGCACTTGTGACCATTGTAAATTTTCGTCAAAATTGAGAAAAAAAGATAACTGGTGTATTTTTTCTCCCTAAAGTAGACTACAGCAAAAGTATAATTAATAAACAAAATAAAAAGAATCCATACTTTTAAGTTTAAAATCCTTTTTGAAACTCACAGCCTTCAATGCTAAAAAACATTGTCTAACTAAAGTCTAAGGTCAATCAAGGTCACGCATTATTTACCGACAAAAAATACAAAAATCCTTATGTGAAACATACAGCAAATGACGAAATATACAGCAAATGACGAAATATACAGCAAATGACGTATATTTCATCTGGCAGTGCTTTGAGCCAATCAGTGTTGTGAGCTACATGACTGCTGTATGGGTGAGTGCCTTTGATGTGACAGGTGTCAAAACTTACAAAAAAATCAATACACAGGGAGGAAAGGGATCGGACATTTCAGTGTAAAAATTGAGAACAATAAATTTGGATATTGCACATCCTGTCATGGACTTGGAGCAACTTATCATTTTTAAAAATGAAATCATTTAAAGGTACCGTACTTGTAATGCAAACAAAACTGTTTCTTGATATTTTTATTAGCTTAAGGTATTAGCACCCTAATGCATTACCTCCGCTTTGAAGAGTATTCAAATAGGCTAGAATTACTGTTAACTACTTTGAAAATGAGGGCCATGGGTTCAATCCCCAGACGGGTCAACTTTTTTTTTCTTTCTTTTTTTCTTTTAACATTATTTATGTATCTCTCATGTCCCATATGGAAAGAAAAAAGTGTTTAATTTTGAATTTTTAATTTATATAGGTATTTATTGGCTAAATTATGCTAAATCTAGTAATAAATATGGTACCTGATATTTTCAAAGTGTAATATAATCAAAACTAGACGGTAAAAGTATTTCATATTTTACAAGATCAACCAATATACTTTTTTAAAAATTTAGGGAAACTTTGAAAACAGGCACTCATTTGGGTAAATTTTAATAAATTTTTTAATTAGGTTCCCTAAGTAGAAAAATGGTCAGACATGTGGTAAAAATGGGTGGGGTAGGGTAACATATTTATAAAGATTTCATAAATTTTAAGTAGAAACCATAATTTTGCTTATGTGGATTGTGAGCTGAATGGTACTATTTGTTTCTTACCAAAAAATCATGGGAAAACATTTTTCATTAGAATGTTATTGCAGATTATTTAAAGGTTCCTCATTTCTAAAAAAGGGCCCTCAAAACATCCTAGTTTGAGTTCAGAAAAGTGGCCATAACTTGATTTCCGTACGGTAAACTTTGTTTAAATTTTGCATACAGGTGTACTTTAAGGTATACATCTGACCTATGATGTCAATTCTTTAGTTCCTGATAGTGCCCATTAGGGTCCTAATACCTTAAGTAAAAAATTATCAAAATATTTAATTTACAACAATCTATGGGATTTTTCCTTTTTAACACAAAATGTAAAATGAAATCAAATATTTTCTTAAAGTGATCATAATTAAGAATTTCCTTAAAAATGACATGAAAGTAAATAATTATAGACAGTTATCCATACCAGACCTTTCTGGAATATGGAGCCTAATCATTACCTGTAACTTTTTAAAGATCTACATATGATAAGTGGGCTCTATTTCAGTGAACCCTTGGCTATCTGGGAAAATGTTTCCCCAGTTCCTATTTTACTTCAAAAATTCAAACCACCTTGTCAAGTCACTTGCATTATACCTTCATTTAGATACAGAAACTGGTTCACAATTATCAACTCCAGGGAGAAAACAGGTTTTAGCAAGATAGCTATTTTCAAATCGAACTCTTGTTCAGTGAGCTTAATGTTATTCTGTTTCCATGTTCATGTAAAAATATATTATGTTTTAATTTATCTTAGCAGTCCAAATATATATATTTATATATATATACTAGTAAAGTTAACACTTTGAAACGCTTTTAAAACTTAAAATAGCCTTATTTCCAAAGGGCTCATAAACTACATTTTCTGCATCTGAAACAAGACAATATATCCTGTATGTTGTCTCAAAAATGAAAAGAATTTGAAATCGAATTGCTGCACTCCCTTGTTATTCTTCGCCTCCATATTTTACTATTTTGATCTGAGGAATCCCTGACATTTAGGAGGAATCCCTGAATTAAATCTCAGGGATTCCTATGGGATCCCTGGTAAAAACAGTTAGTGTCGAACCCTGAATGGCATGCGATAACATAAATACCTGAAATATATGTAGGTCAGTTGTGTTTACATTTCGAAGCTTGGTCTCTTCAGGAAATTGAAGCGTTGGTAAAAAATTGACTTTTTTAAAACGTTAAGAAATTATATTCAAACTTGTTCACGTGTTAGACACTTACCCAGCAAACAAAAGACGTTGTACCAACGTTGTACTGACGTTAGACCCTGACGTTGGGTAAACGTTGGCAGAAGGTTGGATTTGAAAGTTTTTTAGACGTCGGAATCCGACGTCTATACAACGTCATAAAATGACCCTTAACCAACCTTATCTAACCATAATCCAACCTTTTCTGACCATTATTTGGACATAATCCAACCTTTTCTGACCATTATCTGACCATAATCCAACCTTTTCTGGCCATTATCTGACCATAATCCAACCTTTTCTGACCATTATTTGACCATAATCCAACCTTATCTGACCATGATTTAACCTCATTTCAAGCTTTTTGGAATATGATTTTTTTCATTTTAAGCTTATTAGTAGGGTAAACAAATAAGCATTCTTTTAATTTTAACAATTTATTTTCAATACGAATCACATGTAGAAAAAAGAATAAATGTGGTACTATAACAAATGTAACATTAAGTTAACATAATGTATTTTGAAACTATTAAACTTGACAGTATGTACGTAAATAACGCTTCATGTATTAAATAATCATGTTTTAGATATACAAAGTTCTTCATAAACATTAACACTGACATTTTTTATGGTTAACATTCATGCATGTTTTTCTTATATCACCAAAGCTTATTTCCGACTGAACCGATCACCCTGAGGGTGGGATTTTCCAATCATCTATCCAACTCACTGATTGTATATTTTCTTTGTACTTTTTATCTGAATGTTAAATGGAACAATATTGTGAATATTTTGATATTACTACAAATAGCAATGTTCATATATCTTAATTAGCATTCTTCTTTCGTCCACCTCCACTATGGCGATCTGGGGCATACTTTAAAGTTTAAGCACCTTTACCGTCTCCAACCATGAGATATCATCATTCACACCATCTGAAATTTAAAAATAAATCAAATAATCACTTACAATTGCAAGAAATAAATCACTTTTAAATATTACAATTAAATGAAATTCTGACAAAACTCTCCAACTACTTTAACAAAAGAGGCTTATTTTTAGCTCGACTTTTCTATGAAAAGGGGAGCTATCCTACTCGCCCCGGCGTCGGCGTCGGCGTTAGCGTTGGCGTCACACCTTGGTTAAGTTTTTCGTACCACCCCACTTTATTTCAGAAGTATTACAAGTATGGCTTTGAAACTTACCATACTTGTTCACCATCATAACCTCCATCTACAGACAAGAGTACATAACTCTGTCAAGGTTTTTGACAGAATTATGGCCCTTTTTTGACTTAGAAAGTGTATTGAGCTTGGTTAAGTTTTTTGTACCACCTCACTTTATTTCAAAACCATTGGAGGTATTGCTTTGAAACTGACCATACTTGTTTTACCATCACGACCTTCATCAACAGACAAGAGGACATAACTCTGTCAAGGTTTTTGACAGAATTATGCCCCTTTTTGACTTAGAAAATACATTGAATATGGGTAAAATCCACTTATTGCCTTAACCCTTTGAGATATTGCTTTGAAACTTTTAATGCTATTTCACATCATTACCCCCATCTGTACGCAAGAGAAGGTAACTCTGTCAAGGATTTGTTTTAAAAATTAAGGCCTTTTATCGACTTAGAATCTTGGTTAAGTTTTTAGTACCAGTCCACTTTTTGACTGAACTGTTTGAGATATTAATTTGAAAGTTGGAATACTTGTTTACCATCATGGTCCCAAAACATGGGCAGGAGAAGGTAATTCTGTTAAGGATTTTATTTGAATTATGGCCCTTTTTGACTTAGAAACTCAGTTAAGATTTTCATTCTTGTCCACTTGTTGACTTAACCATTTGAGATATTACTTTGGAAGTTGGAGTTCTTATGTGCCATCATGAGACCTATCTGTAAGCAAGAGAAGATAACTCTGTGAAAATGTTTCTTGATTTGTACTTAGAAATTCCTAGTTAAAGTCTTGTGTGCCCTTAACTGTCAAAGTTTTGTTTTATAGTCAAGCACTAAAAAAGTCGAGCGCGCTGTCCTTCTGACAGCTCTTGTTTTATTTACTTTAGTTTAAACCATGTAGTTTCATGTACCTATATATCCATTGATTTTGATAAAAATGGCTTCGTGATCAATGTAATATTTTGAAATATACCTGTCACAAAATCTTGTGTGTTTTTCTTCTTCTTTTCCTCTTAATAATTTCATCTTCCTCCTCTGAACTTTCGACAGTTGTTGAATTATCATAATTTTCACAATCTCTGATATTCACTGAAAGACAAAACAATATTATGATTATCAAAGCACGTTTACGAAAACAACCTGATAAAATGTTCAATTAATTATTTTCATTAAGTATGACCTGAAAATTTAGTCAGAAATTACGATTTTTTCCTGCGCAAAATTTAATATGAAAATGATATTTTTTATATTTATTATAATTTATACAAATGCTACAATATCAAAGAAATTCACATGTTACTGTCATTTTTATAGATATAATCTCTGCCCAGCATGATCCGATCTGCTAAGAGTATAAAGGACAGACTGGCTGAGGGTACAAACGTTTTATGATATGAGCATATAACTTGTTTCACTATATTTGATAAGCAGGCTAATTAACAAACTATTATTTTTATTGATTTATAACCTTGATAATGTGTTTACTGACTGATAATATGTTGTCTGATTACATTAATGAAAAGATAATTAAATAGTCGAAAAAAAATGTGGTTTCAGATATATCTTACCAAAGTTGTATCATTTACATGTATCAAATGCCATGAATCATTATCATAATATAAGAAACACATGGTATGCATTTGGGTAAAGTACATCAATTTAACAACTTGTAGTTAAAGAACTACACAGACATCAATTGAGACCCTACAGTTATCTGAAACATGTGTATAGATGACTGGCCCCTCATTAAGGGAAATTCATGTTGATAAGAAATAAGAGGAAATTTTATATGCCAGCATTTGAATAATAGAGTCTAAATTCTAATAAACGTACTGCATTTAACCTTTTGCTAGTATATTTCGTACCATTGATTATGCAAAAAAAATAATTTGGCAATGGCGATATAGTGTGGGAAAAATGATCCGATAATACAAATTGCTCTAAAGCAAATAATAAAGTGCTCTAACGAGGAAACGAAAATATTTATCTCACGAAATCATGTGACTTTTAGTTTTACAGTCAAACTTTACAATGATCAATTAACCGTCGAATCCATGCAAACATGCGGTTAATAAGCATTAAAAACAATAAATAACTTTTGCCTACCTTTTTCTATTTGTTTGGAACATACAACTAAATTTGTCTGTCAACCCGTCGTTTTTGTCCGCCAACACAAATGAATTTCAAATCCGTTAAGACTCCAATTCGAATTTACTAGATTATTTACCACTATAAAATGAAGCCCACAAAAATGATTACAAGCTCATTGTTAATTATTTAAACACTTCTTTGACTAATTCGAGGAGATAAGTTATTATTTAAAAGAAAATAGAGCAAATATATATTATACTGATCTGCGGCTATCCGTTTACCGAGCGCCACCTATCAAATATCGTACGGTAGCCACCCACGTGACACTGTTGTTATTTTGATTAGGCAAATAAATTTATAATTTTCCCTTTCTAAAGAAACTTAAAATTCTCACTGTTTATGCTTATATTTATATATATTGATTCTATAAATTAAATTTACCAATTGTCAGATTACCGACCGACATCCGACGTCGAGTCGACGTCAAAATGAAAAGTTTGTTAGACGTCGGGGTTTCAACGTTGTTTTGACGTTGTGTGAAGGTCGCCGACGTCGCGACCAATTTTCAACGTTGATTCAACGTTGTGTCAACGTCGGGTGTTTGCTGGGTAACCGTCTCATACTAATATAAGCACAAATTTAAAACTAATTCTTGTAATAAACAATACTTTTAGTTTTTAATATTCAGGGGCGGAGTAGGGCGGGGTCCATACTCCAAGTGTCTGTGTCATCATGTAGCTTTTTTTGTAGAAAATCATGTGGCTAGATAATTAACAGATAAAAATAATATGAAATTAGGCAAAGCCTATGAACGTGAAGTCGGTTAAAAAAATTGTTCATTTTTTCTGTTTTAAAGGTGTCCTACGTTCATGCATCGACGCTTCCGTTTTCACTCAGAACACTCAATGATTATTGTATTATGATGTATTGCATTAATATGAAAAAGGCAAAGCCTCAAAGCGAGCTCGATTTACTTTTACTGTGAAATAGTATAAAATAATCGTTCATTTATATTTTACATTTTCCGTTTTAAAACTGTCATTTGTTATTTTATACACTGCTTCTGTTTATTCTGGTTCCCTGTCCTATTATGATTCCTATAAAAGTGCGAAGGACACCAATCTACATTTCTGTTTTCAGTCAGAATACCTCGGCTTTTATTGTTATCTTGTAATTAGAAAAATTGCGATGTGTCAATTCAGTACTTCCGATGAAAGTTTTCAAAACCATCACTATCTATCAGGTACTCGCGTTACCATAAAGCTTGCTTTGCGAGTAGGCTCTTCGGGCCAGCTCTTCGAAAGCGCTATTAATCTGAAAATCAGCACTTGTTCCATCACTGGAATACCCCACCTATTACAACTGAGTTACATTGAAAATGGCGGCACCCAACTAAAACTGATACTGAAAATTTCATTGATAGGTATAGAATTCTATATATTCTTTAGTTTTTTTTTTTCTTATTTCTTTTTAAATATACACATGTAGTCTAAAGCTGGGCAAGCCAAAGCTCCACCCACACTGGCACAGTGACCTAGTGCTCGGATCACCTCTTTTGTTTACTGTAGATTTGAAATTTTGTTCCTTTGAAATGATGAATTTTCACTTTCAGAATTAGAAAACATGTAATACACATATAATTTATTACAGAGGTTCCACTAGCCATGGAATATTGAGGGTCATTTTGATCAGTATGAACTAAGTTTTGCCAACTACAAATCCAAATCCCCATGATTTTATCAAAATTTGACCTTCCAGTTAAAATTATGATGGTCAAATCAGGCCTTAAGGAAATTTGAAGGGTCAGAGAGTCATTTCAAGGATCAAACGGACACCCTGTTTACCTAAAATACTATGCCATTTGAAGTGTTTCATCTAAAGTTCTGAGTAGATTTTAAGAAGTCAGCATCAAATATTTTGTCAGGCCTTGCAATGTGGCCTAACTGTTATTTTGCAAGTGCTTCAGCAACAGATGATGTTGATGTTATATACGCATTTTTATATCCTGTTAAGATAGTCTTTATTGTGTGACTTACTGCAAACTTGTTTAATGCCGCCTTTATCATGTTAAAACATGTCAGAAGAATACACTGCTTTTATATTCTACTTCAAAATACTTTCATGGGAACATTACGGAATTTGAGGGCATGGTAGATGACCATGATCTAAGGCCCTTTACAGTCTTACCTTGATTTGACAGAATTATAGCCCCATTTTCAACTCAGAAAATTTCACATTATCCAGACTTTTGTTTTACAATCTAGCACTGAGAAAAAAGAGAGCGTTCTGTCATACTAACAGCTCTTGTTAACCTCAGCTTTTATGTATTTCAGGTTTGACATATACCGTAAGGTACCTAAAGATTTAACACAGCCCACATTGACTGGAGCATGTATATCTATATGCAGTGTACTGTTTATGCTCTACCTGTTCCTGTCGGAGCTTGCTGGATTTCTTCAACATGAAGTGTAAGTTATTATCTGCCACTAATGAAATCTTACCTATTCCTGTCGGAGCTTGCTTGATTTCTTCAACATGAAGTGTAAGTTATTATCTGCCACTAATGAAATCTTACCTATTCCTGTCGGAGCTTGCTGGATTTCTTCAACATGAAGTGTAAGTTATTATCTGCCACTAATGAAATCTACAAGGTGGTTATTGAATTTGCATAATCCATGTGTCAATCTGTCTGTCATTTTATCTGTTAATCTGTGACGTCTTTGCTGCAATCATTTTAATAAGACATAAGTGTACGACCAAATCTTAACTACGACAGGGTGTACGACTGTTGATAAAACTTCACCTGGATCCATATCTTTTAACTGCTAGATCAGATTTTAATGGAATCTGGCATAATTGTATATATGAATAAAAGGTATAGATGAATAAATAAATGAGGCTCACCAAAATGCCATACAGATCCAACAATGGATATTATAAGATACACATGTGCATAATAGTAGACAGTTTCATTCAGGTGATATACAATTGTTGTCCAGTGTGTAAAATACTTTCTATGAATTACCTCTCATTTATCTATGAATCTTCATTTTTCATTAAAAACAAATTGCCTGATGTTTGAAAAGTTACATTACAAGGTATTGTGTTTTTAAACCAAAATAAATGACATAATGTTATTTAAATATCCTTAACAGATTTATTAGTGTTGTTAAAAACATATCTAAAATTTGATTGGGAAGCTATAAAAAAAACTAGTTTGTTACTTTTATAAACATTTTACAAAAGCTTTATTGTATGATACCTGTCAAAACCTTTCAGTATCTTGACAATATGCTAATTTTGAAACATATCATCAAAAACCATCACTTAACATGCTTTTTAGTGAATACGTTTACCGGTAATGGTTTTACGTAAAGATTAGTTTAGTTTTTTATGCCCCCACAGAGTGGGAGCATATAGCGTTGCACTTGTCCGTCCGAGTGTCCGTCCGTACGTCTGTCCGTCCGTCCGTCTGTCCGTACGTCCCGAAATCTTGTGAACGCAACTCCTCGGATGGCAGATTTTGCTTAAACTTCCAGGGATGAACAACCTTAATGTGTAGATGGTAGTAAAGGAAGGAATTTTTGCTGCGACCAAATTTAACAGAATTATGGCCCTTTGTTGATTTTTTCACTATATACTATGTAGAAATTTTGTGAACGCAACTCCTCTTAAACCGGATGGCAGATTTTGCTTAAACTTCCAGGGATGAACAACCTTAATGTGTAGATGGTAGTAAAGGAAGGAATTTTTGCTGCAACCAAATTTAACAGAATTATGGCCCTTTGTTGATTTTTTCACTATATACCATGTAGAAATTTTGTGAACGCAACTCCTCTTAAACCGGATGGCAGATTTTGCTTAAACTTCCAGGGATGAACAACCTTAATGTGTAGATGGTAGTAAAGGAAGGAATTTTTGCTGCGACCAAATTTAACAGAATTATGGCCCTTTGTTGATTTTTAGCTCGACTTTTCTATGAAAAGGGGAGCTATCCTACTCGCCCCGGCGTCGGCGTCGGCGTCACACCTTGGTTAAGTTTTTCGTACCACCCCACTTTATTTCAGAAGTATTACAAGTATGGCTTTGAAACTTACCATACTTGTTCACCATCATAACCTCCATCTACAGACAAGAGTACATAACTCTGTCAAGGTTTTTGACAGAATTATGGCCCTTTTTTGACTTAGAAAGTGTATTGAGCTTGGTTAAGTTTTTTGTACCACCTCACTTTATTTCAAAACCATTGGAGGTATTGCTTTGAAACTGACCATACTTGTTTACCATCACGACCTTCATCAACAGACAAGAGGACATAACTCTGTCAAGGTTTTTGACAGAATTATGCCCCTTTTTGACTTAGAAAATACATTGAATATGGGTAAAATCCACTTATTGCCTTAACCCTTTGAGATATTGCTTTGAAACTTTTAATGCTATTTCACATCATTACCCCCATCTGTACGCAAGAGAAGGTAACTCTGTCAAGGATTTGTTTTAAAAATTAAGGCCTTTTATCGACTTAGAATCTTGGTTAAGTTTTTAGTACCAGTCCACTTTTTGACTGAACTGTTTGAGATATTAATTTGAAAGTTGGAATACTTGTTTACAATCATGATTCCCAAACATGTCCAGGAGAAGGTAATTCTGTCAAAGATTTTATTTGAATTATGGCCCTTAACTGTCAATGTTTTGTATTATAGGCAAGCACTAAAAAACTTAAAAAATCTAAAAAAATTCATTCCTATCCACTGAACCTGCAGTGTTCAAGGGTATCACACAATTCAGTAAAATAATTCTTCACTAAATATCTTAATGCTCATGGCCATTGTTCACTTTAAAAATACAGAGATTCTTGTATTGCCTTTTACTGCAAAAACTTTTTTTATTGGCAAGCAATAAAAAAGTTGAGCGCGCTGTCTTACGGACAGCTCTTGTTTCACTATATACTATGTAGAAATTTTGTGAACGCAACTCCTCTTAAACCGGATGGCAGATTTTGCTTAAACTTCCAGGGATGAACAACCTTAATGTGTAGATGGTAGTAAAGGAAGGAATTTTTGCTGCGACCAAATTTAACAGAATTATGGCCCTTTGTTGATTTTTTCACTATATACTATGTAGAAATTTTGTGAACGCAACTCCTCTTAAACCGGATGGCAGATTTTGCTTAAACTTCCAGGGATGAACAACCTTAATGTGTAGATGGTAGTAAAGGAAGGAATTTTTGCTGCAACCAAATTTAACAGAATTATGGCCCTGTGTTGATTTTTTCACTATATACTATGTAGAAATTTTGTGAACGCAACTCCTCTTAAACCGGATGGCAGATTTTGCTTAAACTTCCAGGGATGAACAACCTTAATGTGTAGATGGTAGTAAAGGAAGGAATTTTTGCTGCGACCAAATTTAACAGAATTATGGCCCTTTGTTGATATTTAGTTTTCAACTTGTGGCACATGTAGTCCAAAATATATTTGACCTAGAGTCATAAGATTGACAGAACAGTGGCGTGTGGGGGCATCCGTGTCCTATGGACACAATTCTAGTTTCTGTTGATCTTGATAATAGTAAGGTTTAAAATATATTATATGTAATGATGTAGGCAATCCTACACTGACTTTGTTTGTTTTATTTCAGAGTAAGTGAGCTGATAGTTGACGACCCTGTGAAATACTCTGAGAAAATTCCTGTATTCTTAAATATAACTTTGATGAACACAAAATGTGAATGTACGTATTACACACCTCAGGGAATGGAAAAAATGAATATATTTTGTCAATTTAAGTGGACGTATAACAAATGATAGATCCATACTTGTCAGTCATAACATAATCTCTGTGAAATTATTTTTGACTGTAATCTAAACCTAAAAAAGATAATTCCTATGTAGGACTTTATAACTCCTGCGAAGGACTTTATAACTCCTACATATGAGATATAAAAACCTAATTAGGAGTTTTAAAGTCCTACATAGGACTTACAAACTTCTACGTAGGACTTTATATCTCCTACATAGGAGATAAAAAAGCCTAATTAGGAGTTTATAACTCCTACGTAGGACTTACAAAGTCCTACGTAGGACTTTATAACTCCTACATAGGAGATATAAAAACCTAATTAGGAGTTTTAAAGTCCTACGAAGGGCTTACAAACTTCTACGTAGGACTTTATATCTCCTACATAGGAGTTATAAACTCCTAATTAGGCTTTTCTATCTCCAACGTAGGAGTTTTCAATTTTTATAGAACATGTTAAATTGGCACCAGGACGCTTCCGTAGAAACTAGCAATGTATTTTAATTACCCAAAATTAAGAGACCTTGTAAAGTTTTCAGGCATGTCAAAGTTTAGCCTACAATAATCTGTCTACATTGGCCCTGTGACTTTGTTGTACATACATCTTATCTAGGTCATTTGTGAAACAGCTGTTCATAAGGAGATTACTCTTACATTACAGTTAAGTTACAATATACAGATGATACCATTATTTGTATTTATCACAAGAGTTTAATCTGCTGGAACTAAAGTAATGACTAAACCTTTGCCACCAGTATAGATCCAGACCAGCTTGCACATCCACTTGCCGTCTTACCATACTCTAACTGTTGATACATCAGTTATTAAAATCCCTTAAAGACACATGAAGCCTCAGAAACAAATATATTTTCACTGTTTAGAATTGCAAAAATGAGTGAGATGCTTATCACTTGTAGAAAGAAGCACTGAATGTGAAGTTATTTGTTAAAAAAAGTAGCAAAATGTAGACAAAGAAGTGTTTTGACTTCTACACAAAATTCAAAATCTCTATAAATTATTATGTACTTTTAGCCAACAAGCAATGTAAGCAAAAGAAGGTTCAGGTATTCATCCAAAAAGTATCTTTTTGCAAACTATTATAAAACACTAAAAATAAAAAGCTTTTTCAAAATAAGAATAAAAAGCATTTTTGGGCATAATGGGCCTTTAAACTTTGAATGAAAATCCATTACATAAAGCCAGCAGGTTGAAGGTATTAGTTATGTTAGGCTCTTTTAATGTGCACAATACAAGTAACTATTTGTGTTAGTAACAATTCTACCATATTGATAATACTTTAATTGAAAGAGTGATTGTTTTAAAAATGCATGAGAAAAAAGAATCCCTCACATGAGTCCCTTATTAGATGTTAAATTAATCATAACTGCATCACTAGAAGTTACTGATATTTTATCAAAAGTACTCTTTAATACGTCCTTGTTAGTGGTCAAAAAAGTCTGTCTGTGTACCATTATAATGTAGCATGAGGGCAGGGTGGGGAAGTAAATTGTACAGTTTGAACACAATTTCAAAGGAGTAAAACAAACTTATAGACTTTTAAAAATAATGCTTACAAGTTAAATTTAGAAAAAGAATACGTCAAAGAACACATATATCATTATTTTCATATTCTTAAGCTGTACAAAAAAAATTATGTAAAAATTAATGAATATTCATCTTAAATTATCTAAAATTATCTAGTTGTAGGATTGGACATTCAGGATGATATGGGAAGACATGAAGTTGGTTTCCAGGACAACACAGAAAAAATCCCACAGAATGAAGATAATGGTTGTAGAATGGAAACACATTTCTTAATAAACAAGGTTTGTGGGAAACTTTGTGCTCTTAGAGACACAGATAAATCTCATCTAGATTGCATATAAGTGAAAAACCTTGGTACAATTATGACAAATTCTGGAGGTTTTTTTTTTGTTGTAAACAAATATTTTTAGTGTTATATGATGACTTTATCCATTATAGAAGTGTTGACCACCTGTTAGCTAGTTGGATAGCTTCTTAACATAAGATGATTCAATTTTCCATCAGTTTACAATCCTTTATTACCTAATTGCAGCAAATTATATGCAGTTAATGACACCAATCACTTGGCTTTGGTGAAGCAATTCACAAAAATTATGTTTACTTAGTATATTTTTACTTATTTTTTCTTTACAAGCCTTTCAGCAAAAAACACTACAAAACATACAGTAAAACTTGGTTTAAGATCACCTCCGAAAAAATATCACCATTTAAATAAAGGTCACTCTTCCACAACATATCATTGATTAAAAAGAACAAAGTAACATACAAATAAAGCCCATTTGTCTACTTAATGGCCATCTTTGGTCTCTCCCTTGCATGTCCTTTGTTCACAGGTTTGACTGTATAATGATACTTGGATGACTTGTGTCTTATTCTAATTTTAGCCTCAAAGTTCCGGTACATGTATTCGTTTTGTCTTTAATTTTCTATTTTATGTTCCAAGTAACTCTATATGAGAAAAAACTTTAAAGTTATTTTTCTTCTTTAGGTTCCAGGTAATTTTCATGTTTCAACACATGCAGCAAAGAACCAGCCAGCTCAAGGTGACATGAGGCATGTTGTTCATAAACTCAGGTTCGGTATGGACTTAGAGGAAGGAAAAGTAGGTTTATAAAAATAATTCTTAATTTTTGATTACTGTAAAAAAAGTTTAATTTGTGGTGACTTAATTTTTTCCACTATTTCAAGATTCAAGAACATCTTGAATATCAAAATTGTCACAAAAAGTGTGTTATCCAAATAATAGTTCATTTGTTATTAAGATATGCAGCTTTCCAAGTTATTTTTATATATTAAGAAATTAATTGACTTTTCTTGATTTGTGAAAAAGACCCCAGTTTGCAAATATCTTCATGGGCTGAAGTTTGATTGATTTTAAATGACATAATTGTATAAGAAAGTTGGAATATTGTGCATTTTGTACATCAAGTTACATTCTAGTAAATTAATACTAATAACATAATTGTAAGCAACACTCTTTTTCTGTAGACGTTAGTTACCGGTAGTTAAAACAAAAATCATATGTGTATGAATGCGTCTTCATAATCTGAATAATTTTTAATGATATATGCTTACAGACTGTGAGAGGATCTTTTAACCCCATGGAAAGTTTAGATAAAACAAATGGAAATGGTAAGTGTGAAAACACCTAAATTAATAATATTCCTTAAAATACAAAGAAAAAATATAATTTCTTGTTTCTGCCTTACCAGTGCTTGAGTACAGTGAAGGAAACTAGAAAGAGATTTAATCAAGCCACTTAGCTTTTTAACTTTATTTAAAACAAGGTTGTCATGCTGAGCTCCTTGCTGTCGGTTCTGACTTTTGTTTGGGAATGCATTCATTGAATGCTGCCCTTCCTTTAAAATCTTTGTTTCCATATTTTAAGTAACAGACTATTCTGTACGCCAGGAGTCTAGTTTGATGAAACAGACTATAGTTATTTGAATAAGCTTCATAAGTTTTCATTTTGTGTACTATTTAAATCTATATTTTTTAAAACATATACTGTTATATGATTGAAAATATTAAAACTAAACTTACATTATCATGTTTCAGCTCAAGCCACACATGATTACATCATCAGAGTAGTGCCATCTGTTTATGTCAACAAAGATAATTCAAAACGATTCCCATATCAATATACATACTCATACAGGGTAAATATCATTATTATTTATCAGTCTACAGCAGGCATCAAACATATTTTCAGAGTCACTCATCCTGGATGAGTAGCTTTTAGATCCATTGTGCAGGCAACATTTTTCTACTCGTCATGCATCGAGTTCTCGTAATTCTACTCGTAATTATGAGTGGAAGAGTGGAATTTTTTATCTCTGCTACAGCGCATTTAAAGAAAGCCACTCAAAGTATTTACTGTTACAGGAATATGTTTTCTTAATACACAGTATGTTTTTTCAGAAGAGACAGATTCTCTTAAAGACTCGTCAAAAAGTTTGAGATACAGGCTTATAGTGCTGTATGAATGTTTTATATGTATTACTAGTTGATGTATGATGAGATACATGTAAATGTATATGACTGTCTAATAAAAAAAAAATTATTTCTTCTTTCTATAAACCACCTTAATTTTGAAGTTTTCAATAAGGGATCAAGTTCAATTGATAATAAGTTACATCACATACAATATTATAATTTTGTAAAATGTAATAGTTGTGGTGATTTAATGGATCCGACTCTAGCTTGTCAAAACTGTTAGTAGGAGAACAATATAGTGATTGCAGTTGTTGTTATAGAGGTCTTTACATTAATGTGTGAAACATGTTTAGTAGATACTGTAATCAGAATTTTAAAAAATTTAAAAGAAATCCACCAAAAATGAAAGGTGTAGATTTTATCTATCTTTGTTTATAAATGATGGTCTATGTTTTTTGAATGATGGCCTTTGTTTTTAAATGATGGTCTTTCTTTATAAGTATGACTCCAACCTGGTTATGGATGACATTTATATAATAAAGTAGTTTCATCAGAATGTTTTTATATTGTGATTAGGAAATAATTCAGTATGGTCATGGAGGCCATATGATGCCAGCTATCTGGTTCAGATATGAAATGAGTCCTATTACAGTACAGTATACAGAAAGAAGGCAACCTTTTTATCATTTTCTCACTACGGTAAGTGGAGCTGTCCCGTGAAAATCAACATGCACACGGGTCAAATAGGGCAAATGTGCTTTAAAGCTGTGAGTTTGAAATTTAGAAACAGTGTTACACTTTTAAATTTTATTCTGAGAATGCTTTAATAAATAAAAATTTTGATAAATTTAATGAAAAATTATGAAAAGTCTTTAGAATTTCAAACTCCAGCTTATTTATTATATCATGCATTAAACTGTAAATTTTGTAAAGATAGCATACTTTTTGACCATTTATAGCCCTTGATAATCATTTTTTTTGGGGGGGGGGGGCAAAAATTTAGGAAAAAAAAAGAGAAACTGCTGAACAAGAACATAAATATTGAAGGCAAAAAAAAAAGTATGGTGCCTTTATAAGAATTGACAGTTTATTAAAGACTTTGTGATTCAGATGGAAAGTAATGAGTGATTTCTGGAATCTTAATTTACAAGCAGATGTAGATTATGTGTTTGAATTTTACAATATACATGTATATTATTGGATAATATACATGAAAAATGTGGTACAGAGTGCTCTCCCCTGCTTGATTGATTCTTAAATCACTCATTACTATTACTTTCTGATCAGTGACAAGGTCTTAATTATTATTTAAAATATGTTTCTTTTCTCATTTTCCCTTTGTCAAATAAAATAATCACAGGAAAAGATGATACCAAACCGAATGCCTGCAGTCTGGTTCAAGTATGAAATGAGCCCAATCACCGTACGATATACGGAATCTCAAAAGCCATTTTATCACTTCTTGACAACCGTGAGTAATTGGCGCAAGGTGTTTTTTTTAACTGGTTGTATATGTAACATAGACTTTGCTTTTTCTAAAGCTTAACTCAGTTTTCATGCTGTTCTCATCTTTGTTAGTAGTTTATCATCAGTTTGCATTTAGACAACACAAAACTTGCTCTTATTATTTTGTCACATTTCTTTTTCAAAGCTGGGTTTTTATTTTTGACATTTTATTTTGTTTAAATTTTATCCCATCTTTGATTTTTACAGTAATATTAGTGACAAATTTTCATCCCTTCTTTTAGCTAAAGCTCTGGTTTTGGGCCAGGAATTTGTTTGGTTGCTTAGCAACTGAGATATTCATTTTTTTCTCAAGGTATACTGGGTATCTTTCAACGTATATAGTTGAGTAAAGACTATACAATTATGATACACATAATCTATTACACACACGTTCTTATACATGTATAAACATATACCTTATTATGTCATCTTTCATATTCTTACACAAACATGTAACTATTGTTGAACTTTATAAGCCATATAAACTCCCATTTGTAAGCAAAGTCATTTTCACAGCTCAGATGGATTTTCCGTATTTTACACCTAATGGTTGTATTGAGGTTAACTTTTACATTACATTCATATAATTTTCTTTAAATGAAAAATAAATTCAAAGGCTTTACATTTTCTTAACACAATTTACAGAATTAATATGATGAGAGAAAATTATTAATGTGTGCCTTCTAATGGATAAAGCATCACTTTTGTTGATTGCATATAATATTTATACTTGCTCTGTGGCCACAATTTTGCATACATAGTAAACTTTTGAGATACAATCCCATCAGAATAGCTCTATATTTTCTGAAAATATTAAATCTGTTAAAATGAGCTAGAAAAGTTCTATTACATAAAAATCATATTTTTATTACACTTGCATTATCCTGAATAAACTTTACTTTTCACATTTCATACCTATACACCCATATACCACACCTGAAATATACAGCACTATTAAGTATCATGTACATTGTATAATAATATGACTTAAAATTTTCCAGTGTTACGTTTGATGGTGAAAAGAAAATGACATGGACTACAAAACTGTGTAATAAAGAGTGGGGCTAAATTTAACCATCTATTAATAGAAACCAAAAGGTTTTAAGGCTGTACAGGATATATGGTACTTATAGCCCTCAAATGAAAAACTAAGTTATTTAATACATAGAGCATATTGAATGTGTGTAAGTTTAATACTGAATTTATTGAACAAGTTTAATTAAATTATATTATGTGAGGCTCTGGCGAGCATAATATTATTTAATTTAACAAGTTCAATAAATTTAGTAATGAAATTACACAAATATAATATTCTGTTAATCACATACCCAAAATAAATCCTGGTTTAAGTGAAAAAAAAAAATCTCTTTTTTATTGACACGCCTCTACATTTAGTGTAATGCTAACATTGAGCACATCTTTACAGATATGTTTGTATAATACAAATGACGTCATGTCAAAATATATGCACAGCTGTGCAATACCGTTTTTATGGAGTCGTAAAAGTGGCATGGGTATGTGATAAAACACCATATGTAAAGCACAGACTCAGACGTCATTCTTTCTGTCAAAAAAACTTTAAAGGATAAAGGCATTTTGTTTCTCATTCATATGAACATTTACACACTTTAGAAAGAGATTCAAATGTCAAAAACAGAAAACAATTCTGTTATTTTCATCCGCTTATTTAGGCCTTATATGGTTGAATAAAGGAAATTGGATGACTTTGAAATTTTAACAAATGAAATTTTTTAATTTAGTCATATAATTAAACAGTTATTGTAAATCTGGTTAATTATCCAAGCCTGTGGTCCTGACTTGCCTTGGCCTTTTGATGAAGGGAATATCACATTAGCCAAGACCATATAGACTTTGATCTTCATTCACTTCATCATCTTACAATATTTGTATGTTAATTGATTGAATCTTTCCTTTTCATCACTTAATTTGTATAATGGATTTACAATGCTATGAAATTGTAGCTTTCCAATGTGATTGTTTAATGGTTTCAATATAATAGAAATATCAATTAGCAGTTAACAGTAAAGAATATAATATACATCTTTTCTTGGCCCTAAACTCATGACATGTGTAAGTCATTGCCATTCATATCACTGAGATTCAGGTGTTTTTTTCAGCACATGATTAAATATGAACCAAATACAATTCATCTATACAGGATAGTTACATACATTAAATTTATTCACACAAAACTCGTTTACAGAACAAAACTCTTCGACAACAGAAAAAGAAAATGTTAACCATTTTAACCATTGAATTTGTTTTTTTCAGTAACATCTCATGAATTACAGCATTAGCAAAATTAAAGAATTTCAGAGTCACTATCAATAATAAAATGTCCTGACTTTACAGCAGAAGGTCTAATTTAAGTATTATTTAGGCAAAGATTGCTTTAGCATTCAAACAGTTGAAAAGTATAAAGATAAAGTAATTAGTTTTAATTGTATATCAAATAAGAAAATTCGCAGAGTTTGTCTTTCTAAAGTAACAATAAGTACTGTACTTTGTTTATCTAATTCATTTCTGAAGTAATTCTAACAAAATTTAGTGCTGTAATCTTTCTTAATATAGTTAGATCTATAATGCCCAATATATCAAATTGAAAGCAGGTCATTGTTATTGATGTGACATCCAGCTCTTTAGGCTTTAGTTTCACTGAAAACTTTGAATTATTTTATAATAGCAAACTATACATCTGACCAGCTGAACTCTAAAACAGCTGAATTTTTAAATGGACTTATCCAGCTTCCATTTTAGGAACTGTCTATTATCAATTTTGGGGATATCAAGATGAAAATTTGGTCACCAAACAGTATAGAGCCTGGTCAGACTGCACAAATAATGCAGGTTTCCACATGTGCAGGCTGGTCTGGCTCTATACTGGTGACATAGGCTTATTACTTTTAGTATCAGAATTTTTATTTAGCAAGCTCCCTTGTTATATTAGATTATATTGAGTTGCACCAGCGACAATCCTTCTTTATGAATGCTGAAAAGAAATAACCTAATATAAGATAGGTCTATTTCAACTAAAAAAATTCAGTTGCAAAGCAAAAAAATAAAGCCTGGTTTTTACTGATTAGAAAATATTTTCCAATTAATAATATTCTAAAATATTGAGTCAACAACCACACATTAAAATCTCAATTGTTTGTGGCAAAAGAACATTACAGAGATAATCATAGGATGTCAGTAAGGGTCAGTAAAATACTTGATGCATCTTCTTGTACAATAATTCATAATTTTGTGATAAGTTTTGCCATGATTAATAGATACCTTGTTAATATTTGTGTGCACACTTTATTTAAATGTTAACATTTAAAAATTTCCAAGACCCAAGCATTATTATAAAAAAACTTAGTAAAGTTAGAAAGGTTTTGTTTCATATGTTACATATACCCCCATGTTAAAAAAAATGTGCCAAGTACTAGTTTGGCCATCTGAAAACATGATGTTATATTTCTAAACTCAAAATCTTTGTGCATGATAAAGTTATATCATTTTGAGTATCTTTCTGTGTATGGGAACATCCTTGGCCAAATGGTTAAGGTTGTTGACTTTAAGCCGCTTGCTTCTCATTGCTATGTGTTTGAATCCTGATGGGGACTTTGGATTCTTTCATGTGAGGAAGCTATCCAGCTAGCTTACAGAATGTTGATGGTTCTACTTGTGTCTGTGTTTATGATTGAAATAATTCATTTAGGGGCACCTAAGGTCTTCCTCCACCAGTAAAGATAGAAACCTTCCATATGACTTATCTTATGTTGATGCAACTTAAACACAACTGAAATTTAATGTTAGAAAGAAAAAAAAGATCTGTTAGGTGGAAAGCTGAATTATATTTAATTATAATGTTGTAGAATTATGCTCAGTTTGAGTTCATATTTGCAGGAAGATAATCACAAAGTCTGGTAGGCTTGAGTGATTAATTACTAAGCATTTGAATGATTAACTGTACTTTGTGTTTATACGAATAAATTTTAGTTTGATTGTGTTGAAAGCTATAAGCTATAAACACTCCCAAATTTGTTCCTGGAAACAACCATAACAAAGCAATGAATGTAAAGTTTTTGCTCGAGGAAACAAAGGCTTGCCCCTGATGGGGTTTGAATCCACGCGGCCATTCCATTCTATTCTAACAAGTCATGCTAATATAAAAAATGAAAATTTATAAAAGAAATGTTGAATTAAATTGAATGGAGAAGTAAATTTCCTGATGTCGTTTGGTTTATTGAAGTCAGATATGATGTCCTATGACATTTAAGCATTTCTTTTTATGCCATCCATATAGTGCCTTATAATCCATGTGCCCTTTGAGTTTATTAGGTGAATAACTTGAAGCATACTAGAATGCTCTTTTTAGCTAGATAATAAGATATGTCCCACTGTTTTTTGTTCTCATGTTTATATTTATTGATGTTTACTGTTGTGTGAAATTTTAATATGTTACTATTTATAGAATTTAAATTATGTTGCTATTTATAGAATTTAAATGATGTAACTATATATAGAATTAAACCACCATATTGAATTTTATAATGTAACTATTAAAAGGTCTATACTGTACTAAGTCTTGCAGATACCTGCCACTTGAAATGTTTATTTATGTTACTTTATTATGTCTTGTTACTATTTATAGATATGTATTTGTTACTATTTATAGGTATGTTTTTGTTACTATTTATAGGTATGTATTTGTTACTATTTATAGGTATGTTTTTGTTACTATTTGTAGGTATGTGCCATTGTAGGAGGAACATTTACTGTTGCGGGTATATTTGACTCCTGTGTTTTCACTGCCTATGAGATAATCAGGAAAGCTGAGCTGGGAAAACTGAGCTGAGAACAAGAATACCTAGAGAAATTTATTTTTAATATATACACTTCCTATTTTTGCAATTATAAATAATGTACAAAAGGTTAAAGGGTCAAAGAAGGTGAGAAAATGCATTTATGTTAGAATTTTATGTGATTTGGAAGTTGTGTGACATGTAGGTGACAGATACTTATCTTTTACAACTGATAGAATATGGCAATAATTTGTTTGTAATTGTGGAATAAAATGTCATAAGTTAAGCTTGAAATTTAAATATGCAATCAAACTACAAGGGCATTACTTAAGTATTTCATTATTAATAGTAAAGTATCATATAATGCCAATATACACCCAAGGTGAATTATTTGTATATTATTTTGATTTAAATGTTCAAAACCTCCTCATCTTGATAACATGAGGACTTTCCTATAGGATAAAAAGCATATGAGGACCTAATGAAGTCTGGTAATAATTCAGCAAACCACCAAGTTTTGACTGCTTTTTGCACAGCTTGTTAGTGGTATTTGTTAGCTCGTCTATTAGAATAGGGAGAGCTATTGTTCTTACCCTGGCGTCAACATCACACCTTGGTTAAGTTTTTGTGTGCAAGTCGGTATTTTCAAAACTACTGAAGGGAATAGGTTTAAACACTTATTGAAGAGCATAATAGAAAGTCTCTGTCTCATAAGGCCATCAACTCATAACTTGAATTTTGACAGAAATATGGCCATTTTTGCACTTTAGAAATACTACATTATCCAGGCTCTGTCCATTAATAGGCTACAGGCTAAATCAAACAGAGCCTGCAACATTGGCAGTTTTGCTTTTTGGGGTGTTCTTTAGTGATTCTTTATATTACTATCAAGCATTGAGAATAATTGAGCACGCTGTCCTACTGACAGCTTTTGTTGGAGAAAAATCTAAATTTAGAATCATTATAGAGGTGTGCTAAATTGAAAGAACAAAATAAAACTTCATTGAAATAATATACATGCTTAAAATTATAAAAAGAAACAACAACAAACAGATGCATGTTCATTGTACAATTTACCCACTCAATTTACGAAAGGAAGATGTTTTTGTGTTGAGAAAAAATGACAAGATATTTATAGGCTTGTGTCGGTTTTGTTATGTATGGTTGTTGTTTTGTTAAGGGGGATGGTTTGTGTATGTTTAAGTAAACTGTAATTATACCTTTAAATAGCAATGTTAGAGAAGAGAATAGTTGAAACTATGATTTCTGTTTAGAAGTTAAGGACGTTTTCGGGAGTTTCATATAGATATATAGGCAAAATTAAAATTAAAAAAACATGCCAAGTTTTATGAAACTCTATTGAACAGTTTTAATTTTGCATAAATGTCTATATAAAAACTCCCAAAAACGTCTTTAAAACATTATAGTATTAAATCGACAAATCTACAACCTGTAAAATTCATGTACTATAGAAGTGCCTTTACACTGTTCATAACACCATCAATTCTCATTGTTTTACAAAGCTATTGAATGGATCAGATTTTTTCTATATAATACAGAGGTATTGCTTTTGTCTTTAAGCACCATATTTACTGCAATTTTTAAAAAAAAAATTATATCTTAATTATATATTTTATAGGCAAACATTTTGAAGGTAAATGGTTAATTTTAAATTGTTTTAAAGACTTTAAGCATCAATATTAATGCTAAATTTCTTGATTTTCACATAAAGGTATCAACTTTGTCATAAAACTGAACTAATTGGACACTGATGACTTTATTTATACAAAATGACCTCATTAATTCAAGATCTCATGAGATAAATCACAAATGATGAAAACTGTAAAAACTGAAGTTTAAAAAAAAGATATTTGATAAAAAATTACTATAGATTTTACATAGAAATAAAAACAGACTATAAGACTGAATCAAAAGCAAACATGATATTGTTTAAAAGTAAAGTGTAACAAAACATGAAATGATCTATGATATAAATTTTGTAAATTTCCCAGTTTGAAAAGTTATGGTTATGAGTAGGTTGTTATGAATGTAGCAAGTATTTTTAAAACAGCTGATCTTTTTATTATATCAAAGTTTTCCTTTTTACATTTTCAATTTAGCCGTTTTGGGTGTTTTTTGGGGATTCTGGTTTTCTCTATTTTATACACATTTATTGTAGTTGACCAGAAAGTTAGTAATTTAAAAGAACCATGTATTGTGTTATTTTTTAAATTTTATTATACACTGAGTATTTATTATTATTTACTTTTTTATTTGAAGTAAGCCTTAGTAGTTTTTTGTATAGATTATAAACTTGCATGGAATTCTTCCTTTAGATTAAGTTAAGGGTCTGTGGGTCAAGTCCAAGGGTGCCAATAATAGATTTCTACACTTTCTTACACAAATCATTTATGTAGATGATAATATTAAGTTAGTTTGATAAGCAGTATTAGGATTTGTATTATAAAATAAAAACCACTGCTTTATTTACAAGTATCTTCCAGGGACATTTTGTATGAATTCTGTTACAGTGAAAATAACATTTATACTTGCATTATTTTATCTTTTCACAATTGATATCTGGTTGTTGGTTTGATTTAAGTTTAAGGAACATTTTTTGTGATTTTTGTGGATTTTTTTTTTTTTTATAATTTTCTTAACTTAAACTTTTAGTTGGTTCGAACAAAAAAAAAGGAATACATGTTTTAAAATTTATTATAGAAAATTTGATGATTAATTTTGTTCATTTTTTGATTGATATGTACAGTTGTATAAAAGATAGATAAAAACCCTACAAGGTCATGACGCTAACACTGTTTTTCTACAGTCAATGTTGCTTTATACTTGTTTATCTAAATAACAATTATAGTAAAATGTTTATTATTAGGCAGTATGGACTTTAAATACATTAGTTGTTGGGAATTTTCTGTTATTTTCAGATACTTGATTGTGAATTTTCATAAAAACAGTTCTGAAAAAGTTATTGACTGGGCTAGATGTAATTAAAACACGTTACTTTGAATTATAGCTCTGAAAGTTTTTAGTGTAACACATTTACTATTGTTGACATTGCATTGATATCATATTTTACTTTGGAAAACTTAAAAATCTCAGAATAATTAGGTTTTAAACAATAAATTTGTCATATCACTTTGTACAATAACCATAAGTTTTCTTTTATAGGTGATGTTTTATTATAATCAAGGTAGTCTTGTAGACATTGTCTGTATAGATCTTATTTGTTTGCTTTCATTTATTAATATCATTTATTATATATAGGATAATAAGTAAAACATTGATGTTATACATTTTCTTGTTCAAGAAAGATAAAATAATTGTGTCATGGGAAAGAACTGCTTTATTGTTAGCGGATGGAGCAAATGTGTAAGCAGCCTCAAAGCTCAGTTGGTAGAGCATAGGAACAGTACTCATAGGGTAACAGTAGTTCAATACTTGTCAAGCTGCACATTTTTCTCACCCTGTGACAATTTTTGGAAGAAAGAAAATTTTAATGAAAAAAAGTGAGAAATTAATATTTTACAACCAACTGTCTTTGTTTTTCTTTATGCATTACGCTTAGTTCTATTTTTATATATATTCTTTCAAGTTTTCATAAATTTCTTTTTATGTATATAGGGACCAAATGTTTTTGTTAGTCGTTTTAAAGCATGCAAAACATGTTTGCTATTTACTGCCGATTTTTTTCTTTGTTAGAATATTATAGGAGATAATTAAAATAACTTTGTTAATGCACACTCACCTTTTAAATATTAAATTGTTTTTGTTAAAATTGTTTTTATGCACTTCATTAGTTACTTTTTGATCATAATTATATTGTACACTACTGTCAACAATTCTACAGGTTACTAGCTTCTCTGACATTTCATCTAATGTGGGAATTTATTTGAAAATTGGCTTCAGTATCACATTTGTTTTCTAGTTACATTTCTCTCAAATCAAACATTATAGATTTTATCCGAAACTGAAGTGTTATAGTATCAATTTTAAAGTCGAGTCCAGTTGTATCCATTTTTAAAGTTGACATACATGTCAGTTTTACATAATCTTAAATGTTATAAAACCTACATGTATTAATTACTTTAAAAAGTGCTACTTGTAACATACATGTATTTTACTACATGTTATCAATATGGATAAAATGTCAAGATTTAAAAACAGCCGACATATTGTTACTCACACTAAGTAGGATTATTTTCTACTGTTGTATTCTTACATTCAATTTTAATTGCTGTGAACTATGCTGCTCAAAAGTAGTTTTTAGGGTGTTCTCATCACTTCTTTACCTTATTTCTCTCTCCATTTTGCTCAACGCATCATGATATTCTTTGAATTAGGCAATCTGTTATTTTACTTTTTTACTTCTCTTTTCACTGTGTTGATGTAGATGTATGACATTTTAACATCACTTAGCTTATTAGGTTGTTACTTTATTTTTCATTAATGTTTTAAAGATACCAAAAGTTTGTTTTCTTTAAACGATTCCAGCAATGTCACCATTTGATGTGCCTTTAATTATACATCAGTGTCAGGTCAATTCCATACTTGATTTGCAGTTTTGTATCAAGGCTAAATTTTGATATTTAAAAAAAAGATTTAGCCCTATATATTGTTAAAGTGTGAAGATAACCAAACTTTTTTATAACAATAAAGAAAGTTGTTATTTTTCATAAATAATGTTTTTGTTTTTTTAACCATAACACTTTATAGCCATACTGTTTTAAATTTGTTACACAATAAACAGTTTCGGGAGGGCATAATGTTTTTAGTCTTTTTATTCCTTTTTTGTGTCAGTATAATTATGACAAAACTTGATCTTTGTATAATGCACAAGTTCGTCCACCTTAAGTCTTCAAACTTCACAGGTGCATGCATCTTGATAATCTCCTCCTGCCAAACTCACTCAAGGGTCCAGAGTTCATAGCATTCATTAGTAACTTTCCAAATAAGTTAATGAATTGCTAGAAAAGAAATCATATGACCGGAATTGATGTTAGATTTAAATGACTTAGCATTGTACATATTTTATAGGGTTGCCATAGAAATACAAAACCGTTGTGTATTTGTTTGATTTGTTGTCTAGTCATAACATTGTTCATTGTTAATAAAATATTCAGAGTAGGATCTTACATGTAAACATGTTTCTGGGTGTATTATTTTTCTATATACATAATTCTATGAGTTATTAAAGCTATCAATTGAGATTGCTATAATTGCTAATATGAAGTGAATGATTTAAAGTTGACAGGTCTAAAATAGGTACATTTTCCATAATTATTTCAAATGTTTATAAAAAAACAATAATGATGTTCTAATAAAATATTTGTGAAAAAAGTTTTTCTGTGTGATTAAATATCATTTATATGATAAATTATACTATATTTCTTTAACAATTTATAGAATTGCAGACCTTTTGTTATGAACCACTTAACTTAAAGATTACACTAGAGTTGTTACAAATTGACTTGCCCTGTGAAGAAAAATGTTTAGTTGTCTCCCTTTCATCATTCATGGAATTAATATTATATATTCAATATTTATATTGCATAAAAAATAAGTATTCTAGTCTAATAGGATACATGTTTACGAGTGTTAAAGTGCCATTAGTCATTATTCATAATACTAACATGATATGATGAGTAGAAATCTTCTGTTTATTAAAGCAATAATGTTTAATTTTACATTTTGTTGATTGAAGTATTTTGAGTTGATTTACCATATTATTGTGTAATTGTTTAATAATCTAAGCTTATTATTTTCGTATGTTTTTTTGCACTATATACTAAACAAATGTTTCTACTTTTAGCTCATTATGTAAGTGTTAGGCAAATTAGGTTGTTTAACAAAAACTCTGTATGATTATTTTAACATTTCACTTATTGTTGGTGCTAAATTAAACATCTATATTAAACAATAAAATAGGTGTGCTATTACCTGGTAATTGTAAATTATAAGATGTGAATACAATATATCTTTAAGAAATGAAGTTATATATGCCATGAAAGTTGTGTTTTTGTGTGAATACTAACCATTGATATAAAAGGTACTTTAACATGAATTATGGAATCTCTCAATTTGGATGATTTATATTTTATTTCACTGTAGTGTTGATGAAATACTGCAATAAAATAAACATCAAACAAGATTGTCTGCTTTTGTTGTATTTCTTTTGAGATTGTTTGCCTAGACTAGAATTAAACCTTGACATTAGAAATGCCATTAAAAGTTAATTGTGCTTTATATGTTATACAACTGATTTATAATGACTAGGTGACTGGAAAAACATTTTAACCCATTGCTTCATGAGCATTTGTGAAAAATGGCTGTTTTCATTGAAAAGTCTCCCGTTACAAGTTCAAATTGCTATAATACTATAAAAACTGCTTCAACACTAATCAAACTTGGCACAAATGTTGACTGAACCATTGTCCTTGCAACAACATGCTCAGACTTAAATTTTCTGTTACCATGGCAACGAGGGGACATCTCAAAATTGCCAAAAATCACTATTTTGCGTTGATTTTTTCCATCAAAATTGATTTCCAAGTGCTGCAACTTATCAATGGATTGAGATAGAGTCAAATGCTTTTCAGCGTTGGTTACACGTTACCTTATGATCAATCTGGGGTCATTTACAGCCTCTCACAAGTCCAAAATTTTCTTGGCGATGAGGGGGACTCCGCCCCCCTTCAAACCCCCCAAAACAGAAGGGGGCACATCCCCCTTCTGGCAACCCCCTGATGTATCTTTTGGTTGGGGGGCCGCGCCGAAAAAGAGGTCAATTTTTTTAACAACATTTCTCAAACAAAAACAAGTGTTTAGGGCCTGGATAAGGC